ACAGGCAGCAGAGTCAGACCACAGACAGTCTTTTGGCATTTAGAGTAAATGAGGTTGGTGATAACCATTTCCTTATACGTTATGATTGTGGTTTAGGATGATAAAGTGATGAACATCTTAAAGGCACTAAAGAAATACCAGAGTAAGATGTGCAAAAATCATAACATTGCAAACATAAAAACTCTGGGATGTTCTCAGCACTGCAACAATCCACAACAAATCTTCCAACATTTGGTGTCAATCTCATCTTCAAGTGCGGTCTGCCAGTTGGCAGACGTCTCATTGCTGTCCACATCCTTGTGAGAATTTTCCTCAAATACTTGTGCACTACAGTACATCACTAGGAAATACTGCCCATTCCTTACAAAATGTACTTGAGGGGGTGGCTGTAGATCAGTGGGTAAAGACTTGGACTACCACCAGTATGGCCTGGGTTTAAATCCAACTGCATGCCTACATGTCCCAGGCTAAGAAATTTAACCCCCAAGTTGTCCATCGTCCTCCAGCCGCTATAGTGCCAGTCCTAAGCCCAGATGAATCGGGCGGGTCGGGTCATCGCTTTGCAATTCTTGGACACAGTTTAAACAACAAATTTGCTTTCATGCCAGACGGTTAGAAAGCATCCACATGATCAGACATCAAACAGAATGCACAGCAAAAATTCCGACTGTCGGCCAATCATCGTGCTTGAGCGGTTACAGACAAAAGTTTCAACATAGAGCGTTCTGCATTTTAATGTCCTCATCTTAAGTGCCGTCCTCTGAGAACTTATTAAAAACCCTACGCTGAGGGCAAAAAGCCACACGAATAAGAAATTTGCATTTTCTGAAAGTCACTGTTATGTTTTAAAGAATAATCTGCAAAGACTCAAGCTCAGATCACTTTGGATGAAATGCAGAACTGGAGACAATACTTTTATTCAGATCAGAACCAGTGTACTGAGGTGATGAAAGCCCATTTTATTTAACTCAGTAGTAACGGCAGAAGCAGCCAAGACAGGATAAGCTTCCTACTTCATCCTGCACAAAATAGCAATGGAGAATCACAGTCAGGAAATGGTCAAGGACACATGAGATGGACCATTAAGCACAAGGATTTCGATTCTGCTTCTTTCCTTTGGCTCCATCCCTGCACTGCACTGCCTGCCTGCCGGAGGAGCCGTCAGTCTCCTGCAGCAGACTATTGTGACATTGCTTCCATAAAAATCATGTCATCTCCCATCCCTTCAGAGTGTTCCCTCTGGTTAGTGCAAAGCAAAGGCAGAAAATTGTACCACCCTTTTCCAACTGTGCTGCCATTACCAATGCTTCCAGCTCACACCATCTCTGATAAAATAAAATGCTGAGTCAAAACTACAAAGAGAATACCAGTGGTTTCTTCCAGCATCCCATCATTGATAATAAATCTTGATTGAAAATGTATTTTTTTTAAAACCTTACCATTTACTACAACATCACTACAGACCTGCTGTTATTCAATGAGACCCATGTAAAAATGAGAGGCAAATGAGTCTCGAGCTTAAACAGACTGCTGCAAGACGTGATCCTCCCTGTAGCAGACGTTACGTTCATTCAGGGTTTACATGTGGATAGCCTTTTAAGCAATTAAGCAGTCATCAAAATCATGATTGCCCATTCAGCAGCAAAGCCTTCCCAGGCTCCATCTTTTGTCTCGGGCCTCACTCACTTTCAAAGGCTGACTAATCTGGCTATGCTAACCAAAAGCAGCTGTGTACAGCAGCTACCTGGAAGTCTGTTTAGCTTTACCTAGCACTCAGTAATTACATGGCCATTAAGGTACCTCCCAGCACCAAACCACACAGAGGGCACAATTCAAAAGCCATCGATGATTAATTACCAGCTGTTTGTCGAGTTGTGGATCTTTGAGGGGATTGGCTACTACTGTAACTGTATTAGGCCACTGGGAAAACGAGGAAAAGAGGGGCCGCAACCCAGAGTTGACAGGAAGTGATTGGGTTGGAAAAGTTGAACAGGGTGTCGTGTTGTGGTGAAATTAAATCTAGACCTGATAAAGCAAGAAAAACAGATATCACTGCATTAGCATTTATCATTAACTTTGACTGTCTTTTCAGTCAAACAGTGTTGGGTGTTTTAATGAGGGAGAACATTTCATGTCCGCCACAGAGCATGTTTTTCATTCAAAGCTCTTCTTCCAGTGTGGCCAGACTTTTGAAGTGTTTTCTTTCAGACATGCTACAGCGAAGGAGAAAGGAACACATGTGGCGGGGGTTTCAGGTGGATGGATGAGTAAACAGAGAAAGCAAAAAGCATCAGTGCTTGCCAGAAGTATATATATTCCCAACAAACAACTGACCCTGCATGGAATTCCCTAATGTAGAAGAAGAAAGGTAGGATCATGATGGGCAAAAAAACAAATTCACTGAAACTGAAAAATGATTTTAAGAGAGAGAGTTGGTTTACAAATTGATACGAGGTGGTGTGACAATCAGACATTTTCGCACCAACTTGGTTTGACAGGATTTCTTCCCCTTTCGACTCAAGACTATTTACACCAACTGTGTGGTGTGAAAACAATTTTCAAAGTCTGTGTCAGAGCCCATAAAAAAAATTACTAACTGCGGTAGAAACAGTGCTTTTGGATTCCCATCACAAACACGCACACACACAGACTATCACTATGCTGTCTGGGGCTTTACTAACAGTTTAGGCACAGCAGCACAGTGAGGTAAACACCAACACTGCTGACAAACGCACATCAGGTGACGACAAGCGGATACTGCAGCCAGCTGAATACACATGCAGGTTTAAAGATGTTGTGCAAATGGTTTGTTCGCTGTTATTGTGCAGTTAAATGGTCTGAGTGATTGGATAATTAGTCAGGAAAGACTAAAATGGATATTTTGTACACCCGTTTTCAGTATTCAGTTAAAAACCTATGGACGAGCCTACATGGTACTACTTTACTGCTACATCTAATACATATAAAAACAGACTGCTGTTAATGTTAGGTTTAAAGATTTGTTTTTAGTTTAAATGACCCGTTTACAGTTTAACAGTTGCAGTTCAGGTTGAATGCCCTTCATTCATTTTGGAAATGCTGGGGTCACTTGGATTCATTAAACAATCTATCACAGAACCGTATAATAAAATAAATGATCAAACATCACCAAAACATCGCCCTGATTAACTTTCATGAGTGTCAACACTGGGACGCTGTGAAAACAGAGGAAACTTCTTTGGATTCACGAGCCAACTGTAAACAAAATATCCCCATGCTACGGCCCATTGCTTTGTCTGTGCAGCCACTCCATCTTCCCTGACAGCAGTAAAAGGAACATAACAGTACTTTCCTGCAAAAAAAAAAACTAACTGCAAGACAAAAGTGGTGACTAACGTTAGACATTATTTAAAGTTATCCTACTAGAAACTCTCTAGAGTCCACGGTGGCAAGTATGTTGCGAACCAGGAAGTACCACTCAGTAATTTTTCAAAAACTAACTTCAGTGTCAGTTTTGAAAGAGTTACGGTTAATTTGATGTGGAATGGTTTTATCGTTTGGTTTCTGACCTTTGCAGAAGTGCTTTGAGTAAAAGCAGCAGCAGCAGCACAACTGCTACTGAGAAGTGAGCGCAGTGATTGCGAGTCTCATTATAGTTAATAGTTACGCTTCATTAATTCAGGCATTTTCATTCAGCAGACAAGTCATAAACTGCAGTTAAAGTGTATTCATGGTTACTGCCAATTGTACAACAGTCCGACATCTCCTTACGTCTGTGCCTCAGACTGAAATACACATTTGGTAAAAGACAGTACAGCTATTATTTTATGTCCGTCAGAGAGGTCAGAGGGTAGAGCCGGTGACCATCTGGCTTCAGTTGAGATTCAGTGTCTTGTTCAAGGACACTTGGGGAAGTCGTGCCGACACCTGGATTAGCAATTCAGACTTCCAGCCACGGTGCTACCCCTGCTCTGTGTGACACCTACAGCTCTGTCAGCGAGGTCACCTCCAATAAGTTCACACTCCCCGGCTCGATCGCTCAACTAGAACTGACTGAAGCCGTGTGGGCAGGTCGCTCTTCAAACATTGCGAATGTTGTGAAAACACAGCAGTTTCCTGCAGCATGGAGGAAAACCACCAAGCTGTTCAGCCGTGTCCACAGCAGAAGAGACTAAAGTGTCGTGAAAATGACATGAACAGTTTTATTGTTAATATTTGATCACTGTATGACCATCTTTGATTTCACTGACTCCTCTTGTCTCTTATGAGAAACCAGAGAAACAACAGATGTTTACATCTGTAATATTAGCTGACCTTACAGTAGTAGTCTTGTGTAAGCCATCTGAGGATGTGTTGACTGTGTACGTTAAGCACAGAGCACTTAGTTGGAGAGCCGTACACTTTTGACCAACCTATTTTAAGTTATTAAATAAAACTTCTCACCTTTATCTACCTTCTAAAACCAATGAGAATTTACATTCTTAGCACAAATTATTTCAAGTCCACCTGAAGGCCAAATGCGTTCCAAACAGAGCTGTCACATATAAATGTGTGTGTTATTTCTGCCATTGATTAACAGCCTGCCAGGTTTTAGTCGGAGGAAGTGATTGTGCAGTCTCCTTTTAGTGATGCACCATCTCGCTTGACATGAGACTGCTGACCCATGCAAAAGAAATAAATGTTTCCATCTACTGGTAAGAAAGGCGAATTTCATGTGTGTCTTTTCCAGCAACATCCCACGCCAAAGCTCTCAGCACCTCTAAGTATAGAGCACTGTTAAATAGCTTTCTTCTGTTAAGTGTAATGAACAGACAGCTGTCTGCATCCATCACAGCACAACTCCCTCAAACATCAACGCCATCCAGACACACTGTGTTTTTGCAACCAACTGAGGAGCTCCACAAAAACATTTCATTCATTCATTCACTCCTACGTCAACAAACAGGTTTCAAATCTGCCACTTCCACACGCACAGAGACAAGCACTACCCAGATTGCATTCGGGAGAGTGTATTCCTTTACCTGGGGGGCAGTTGCACTCAGGTGATGCCTGTCTGGCAGTGCGGATCTTGACGTAATTCTCATAGGAGCGCTGAAATTTTAAATAAACACAACTTTCATTAGCGTGCACATGACGATTGAAGTCATCCATCGTGAAGTTCTGCGTGGATCCTGACTCTAACTGTCACCTCACTGTCAATTAACCGGCTGGTTGCATTTAACAATTGCGAGCAGGTGTGAAGTGAAGCGCCGTTTGTTACCTGTGAGAGCAGCTCATCCACTCTTTGTTGGATCAGTGAGTTAAAATCACCCATGGAGTAACCCGGGGCTCGGACAATCGGGTGCTCGCCATTCCCACTCTCCAAACCCACAACCCGGTTCTGAAGATCAGCTGCGTTAATGCTGAGGAGAACGCAGAACGCGATGGAAGCCACGGAACACAGCGACGAGATGATGTTCAGCACTGTTGCGCGACAACGGTGTCGCTTCTCAGGCGTTACTTTGTCCATTTTCTCCACGCACCTTGATGCTCCTCTCGCCTGCGCAGTCTCCATTTAACAACACGCGCCGTGGGCAGCAAACTGCATCTGGCGCCGAGTCACGAATTTGTGGCACACGTTTCTGTGCGCCCCTGTGCGTGCGTGCGTCCGTGCGTGTGAATGAGTGTGTGCCGGCTTGCGACGCAAGCGTTCACGTCCACTGACTTAGTGGTGACAGCGGCTGACAGAGGGAGAGCAGAGAGAGCCCCCACGGACTGTGACCAGTGCAAGTGAATGTGCGACACTGCGCTCCTGCTCCTGGAAACTTGTTGCGCTGAAGCTCTCAATGCAGCCCGGTGCTGAGAGGGAAATGTTCTTACGCACAATGAAGCAGAAGAAACCGGGCAGGTATCAGGACGCGCACGTGGAGTGTGGAGACCGTAGGCGCTCAGGGCTTATCCACTGAGCCACAGTCGTGCTGCTCTTCATTACTGCAACAACACGCCTCCAATCTGTCGCCACTGATTAACATAATTTATTGACTCGCTTCTTCCGGGGCAGCGTCATTTCCAATATTGGATGTTAAGTGCACTTATTAACCGCCGTAACACTTTAAATTATAACCACAAAATCCTGCGTAAAAAGCCAGATATCAGACTTAGAGGCTGCGTAAGTGAGTTAGCGCAAAAACTCTACTAAGCGTCCACGACGCGTAAAATAATTACGCATTTGAAGCATCTGTCATTGTTATTGTAAAAGAATTGTCATTATTTCACTTCTCTAAGAGCCTGGCACAAATTCACGCCCGAGTAACTAAGACAGAGGATAACCTAAAATTATTAAATTGGTAACAAATGTGGTCGAAAACTCCTCTAAACTCTTCTAATTGTTTGATATAAAGTTTAATCTGAAGAATAAAAAACACAAAGAACTCAAAAAACGTACACTGAGTTAAATTAATGATATTTCTACAATAGGTTACAACGTATTCACTGGGTTTTTGGCACCACCTTCTGGCAGACATTGTCAATGAATTTGATTCAACTTAAAGAGTGAGTGCAAACTGGACTGAACGCGGGGAATGGGTTCAAATCATCGACTAGGCTTAGGAGAAAAACAAAAGAAAATCATTCTGACCAACTCATACTCCTAAGTGGAATGACATTACAAAGTATTAACATTATATTTCTAATTAGAGTTAATTATGGACCCCTATTTATGTCTATTACTGTCCCAGAGTTTTTATTTTAATCTTTTTTACTTATTTACGATTGTCTTTGAAGTGTGGTTTAATGAAGTACATTTGAGACTCAGATGTAGCCTCTAGATACTGTGTAAAGATTTCAAGCCAAAGAAAGAATAACTCTTTGCCAAAGGCACAATTAGAGACAAGGAGGAAAATAAAAGAAATAAATAAAAAAAGTAAAGGATTGGAGATATATGGAGGAGATTTGGAAAATGCTAAAGTTAAAATTATTAACAGGTGACTAGGAAAATGCTAAAGTTAAAATTATTAACAAGTGACTAGATGCACTCACACACAAGAAGACACTCACATTATTCACTAATCTGTCTCTGAATCTTTCTCTGAATCTGTGGTACTGTAAAGTGGAGAGTTCAATTCAATAATATTATAATAAGGGTAACAACTGTGAGATTTAAGAAAACAAATCATTTGTGCTTGCATGATAACGTGCACTTCTCATTTGAGTTATCTGATGTAATTTATACTGATTTATTAATCTGACCTTTTGAGGGGTTATAGGCAGAAAAACTCAGCAAACTTAAACAAGGTTAACTCTTTTGTTAGTTGGTTTTACTTGCATGGAAAAACCAAATTATGATAATTGTTTTTAAACAAATTAAGTTAAAAAGCTGCAGTCAGTAGTTTTATAACATTTGCTTGAAGATTATATATGTTAACACATACAAAACATGGGCCAGTGTAAAATATGCAGGATGTGAACTTAATTAATGAAGAAATAATACTTAAAATGTAATCATGCTTTTATTTATTTCACATTGTAGTTTTAATGCATTATATGTGAAGCTTATGAAAGGGTTTTCTTTTTTCCTTTTACATGTCAAAACGTGCATATATTATAATTTATTTTATTACATGTGAATAAGTTTTATTATACATGTATGTTTATAAGAGTTTGCCTTAATAAAATCATTTAAATTTTCTCGACCAGTAATTTAGTTTTACCATTGTTATTATAGAACAGTTTTGTTTTCCTTCCTTTTTCGTCTTGGTCGTCCTCTTGTGGACAGATGTAGTATTGTCCTTAATTGTTTGGATTTGAAAATCTACTCTCTTCTCTTTCGATAAATAAATAAATAAATAAAAGTATTATTGTGCTATTTTTGTACATGTTGAGCTTTTCGTCTGTTTTCTTCTCCCTCACTCCCCCTCTGTCTTTGGTGGAGATGACAACAAAGCGACAGATGGTGAGCCAACTGCATTGCGCAAATTTATCACATTAAAAGAAAACAGAATAACATTGCACGTTAAATAGTACGCGGTGGCACATCTTTGGAGACAGCTGAACACTATCAGATAACCTTTGCGTTTACCGGGCTTTCACTCAAAACCGCATCCTCATGAACAGCGTCCTGCTCACCTTGGCAACGGGCCTGCATCGGAGAATAATGTGGGGTTTATTTTTAGAAGCCCTCAGACTGCTGGTGCGTACATGCTATTCACACTCAGCACACACACGGAAATACAAGGTTTCTTCCACCGTTCAATAATTCATGGTCTATGGCGGAGGCTCCAGTGAAGACTCAGGGATCAGGCTTCTTCAACTCGTCACAGGACCCCAGGAAGAGCGCAGGGTGCGACGCCCGCCCGGGGGTGATGCGCCCTAAAACCGCCGTGCGACAGGGTCCACGTCCTGGAAACAGTCATCAGTCTACAACAACGAGGTGAGGTATTTACTGTCTCTCTGATCTACTGATGGACAGTGGAGAGAACGTCCCTTAGTGAAAACATGGAGATTAAAAACAGAAGATTTTCCTTTTCTTTCATTTTCATGCATATTCTTTCCTTTCCGTTTTTATGTACTTTTGCAATTAGTTCATGTATATTGAGTGAAATATAGAATGTTAAAATGCGGTTCAGGAAAATTTGTTTTTAGACAACTTGAAGGTTGACCACTGTGTTTAAATAACTAACACTTTTTGCTCGAGGCTGTGTAGACCAAAGTAAACCAAAAGAACTATCTCTAATGAAGAGCTCAACTCCCACAGCATGGTGCAAGAGTTGTAGGCATGTGTAAAAATATATATTTCTTATTTCTTATTCAAGTGTCCACAGGATATGTAGAAACCCAGAACCTCATCTCAAAGATATGTAACACATTTGGGTCTTGGGATGGGGGTGGGAGGGCGGGTAGCCACCAGTGACAGCCTCAAAAACCACATTTGAATTCCCACACTTAAATGGATTAATTATCTGTTCCCAAGTGGAGCAGAACGACTGAAATATCAAATGTTGTTGGGCAAAAACAGCAGTAAACTTGTACAACAGCCTAAAATTTCAACACTAAAATGCAGACCATCAATCACAGAACTGATTGGCTCTCCTAAGTTTTCTACTCCAAGTGTTGTCTCTAGTTCAACACCGAACTGGTGTTTACAAAAATGGATGATATTTGTATGAACGGAGAACAGTTGTGGGTCATTGATATTCAGATGCATTCAGTGAATTTTGTGAATATTGTACATCCAGGAATTACTGCAAATGTCAGAGACCGCACACGCAGGCCACCGTGACCACAGAGTATCAGGACCGATTCCTTCCTCCCTGCCATTTTAGGACTTTTATCTTGTCCCAGAAACCCAAGGATCCACAAAATTCTCTTAAGAATGTCAGTTTGACCACTTACAAGTAAGTTCTTTGATGCTCAACGCACATCTGATGTCGGTGTGAGAGGTACAGATAAACAGATGATGTTAAATTCTGTGCAAATCTCAAAGGAAGACCGCAGATCGTCAGAGAAGCATCAGTGCTCCACAGTATCCTGTTGGCTTTGCCCTCAACAGACTGGCTTCCAGGACGGGGGACTTTTCATCGGTGTACCAAAGTAAGCATCCTGAGCATCACTTGATATCACTGCACGTACACCACTTTTGTCAAACTTAGTTTCACGCAATGTTTTATTGCAGATGATTTCCGTGCATGGAAAGCGAACAGATGCCTGCCACACGGACTCAGTGAGAGCCTGAAAGCCGGCCAAGGACCGGGTTTTACCAACGGCACCTGCAATAACAACCACAACCACAGCAATTTCCTTCAAGGTGATACAATCTCCAAACCAGCAAAACATCCATTTGAGAGCATGACCAGCTACAGATCAGACTACGTCGCTCACCCAGTTCCACCGAGGACACGCAGAGACAGATTGTCGAACAAACCAAGCACGCAGCCGCCATTAGAAAACTCGGCATCCCTGAGGCGAAATCTGGTCTGGCAAACAGGCCAACAACCTTGTGATAGAGGCGGTGAACTATCTCAGCCATTTCAAACATGGCCTCTTGAGAGCCAGCCTCACTGCCAAGGTAAAGATCAAATGTCCAGGCCACCAGCAGATCTCAACGCCTATCTCTCCACGACACATGCAGCTTACGTGCCGCACAAGTGCGAGCGCACCAGGCCAATCCTGCCATGTGTGCAAAGCGGCATGAAAATCGAGGAGCCTTTTCTTCCAACCACGACCATGAAGGAGGATTACAAAGCTTGGGACATTCCTCAAAGCTTTTTGGCCAGGAATATACATGGAACCGCCCAGGAAAACACTCTTTTCAATGTGCACACCTCAGACTTCAAACACAACCTTTGTGCCTGCATCCAAAATTAAATGAGCCCGCGGTCTGTAATTCCAGCTGCAATACCACACACACCTCAGACTCTTGCTGTGGATGGAGGATTTTCCAGCTTCTGGTCCATTTAAACTGGGCTGAACACTACATACATGTTCCGTTTAATGAAACACGTATGTAGGTTTTATGGGCTAAGCACTATTTTGAATGGCATTTGAAAGTAGTTTTTTGGAACACAGTTAATTCACAGTACAGTTAGTTATCATATATTTTAGGTCAAACTTGCTGAAAAAGACTATAGACTGTATGTATGTATGTATATATGCATGTATAAACATATGCACAAATATATACACACATTCACATACATATGTTTATAATACATATATAAATACATAATATATACACCATATATAATATATATGTATATACATAAAGACATTCAGTTATTCTTAAACAAAGAACATTTATTAAAACAAATGAAATGGAAATGATTTATGGAGAATTTTATATCCTCGTTAAAAATGATTTATGGAGAATTTTATATCCTATAATTTTATAAATTGGAGCCATTAAAGACATCATTTAGAATTCAGAAATATTCCTTTAAAAAGAACAAAAGTTCAGAGGGATATCAGTGCAAATGAAAGCTAAGAGGACATTTTAACCAATTTTCTTTTCTTTCCATCTAAAGACACTAAAATACACCCTCAAATGACACAACGACTAATTCAATTTAATTAAGATACAAAACATTTACAGCTTCAGATGCTCTCAGTCCTCTTGAAAACGGATGTGCTTATGAGTTTCCTTGGCTCGGGCGATAATGATTTTTTCCGCTTTGGATATGAGCTGAAAATTAAGAAATGACAAGGAATAGCATGGTGACTGCATGAGTTATTACCTGATAACACAAGTATTTATGTGTAAAAACCAGCAAACATTAATATTGACTGTCTAGTATGACAATCATCTGTAGGTGAAGCCCTGATGGGCTGCAAAAATGATAGTGGGCCACGATCAGTGCACAATCTTTAAACTTGACAAAAGTGATTTAGAGTGAACAGAAGGTGCAGTTAATGTTGTCTGAATTTACACATTCATATGGAACTGTGTGTGAAGCACACTTTTCTGTGTAAAATAGAGTACACACATGTATATATATATATACATATACACAAACATGTATTAAAATACATATACACACACATACATATATATTTGTATATACACATACATACAACACATATATCTTTATGGAATTTATCAACAGAGATGTTAGTATACAGTATATACATTTTTCTATGTCTTTAAATGTGGTCTCACCTTTTCCGTGCCCCTCTTTTTCTCTCTCGGACGATTTAACTTCACTTGCCGGTCCACTAGGATTTTCTGCCAGTATCTTTGTTCGTGGTCACCTTTAAACAAAAATTAAAAATATGCCTTAAAGTTCAAGATCATAACTTCAACATCACATGTCTAAACAATCTGGCTTAGCTTTAATACCTAGTTAAAAAACACACACAGAACCTCAGCCAAGCTGTACCAATAAATTATTTCCACTGTCATCAATAATGGACAGCACCGTGTCAGCTCAGTCTCACACGACCTGCCCCGGCTCATTGAAGGCACAGGTCACACACAGACACGTGGATTCAGGGAACAGGGAGACACACTGGTGTCATGAGACAAAAACAATTCATACCAGAGAGTATTTCTAGTGTCCAACTGTGCTCTTTCTGGAGTTTCGTTCTGACGTCAAAAATTGCTTTGGCTCCCTCTGGTGTTTCAAAACGAATGTGGCCCTCCGAATCTCCCTCCAAGAAGTCAACGTAGGCTACAGGCGATATTTTTCCCAAAGAATCCTTAAAATTAAAAACACAAGAAGAAGAAGAACATGCTCTATGCTCAGATTCAGTAATTAATTTCCATTTTTTAAATCATGACGGTGTAACCCATTTGCAGGCAACAGTAATAACAATGAGCTGCTTTACTTTGATGAACTTTCTGCCTGGGAGAGGCTTGCTGTCCATGATCTTCATGATGACGCCGCTGGTAAATTGAGGGCCCTGATTGGCTGCTTTTTCGCTCGTGTCACCTTTGTCTGAGATGAGAACAATAACACACAAACCAACATCACTACATTCAACTAACACAGAGCATGTATATTTTTCTGACGCAGTATTAACCCGGTATTTAAAAATGTTTTATTTTAACACTTGAGTTACATCTATTTTCAAAGATTAAAGTTGGAGTTTTCTGTCTAGCTGTTGTTAACCAATCTTACTATTTATATAAGTATTGGATTTTGATGATTAAAAATATATTTTTTGTGTTAGTTTTCAAATAAAGTAAACCAGAAATTGTGTATCCTGTCTCTTTGTGAAACTGTTACAGCAGGGATGTTTTTTCAACATATGTAACAACAACACGTGCAATTTATTTATTTATTTATCGTCCATTATTATACGGACTGTATTATTGAAACTTTACACAAACTCACCATTTGCATCTTGTGTACGTGACTCTGTCTCCATCAGAGCCGAGTTGCCCTTGTGATCAATCTTAGTGATGCACCTCTTCAAAGACGCCATGCTGCACTTCTGCAGGGACAAGTACTCCTCTTTAAGCTTCAGCCAGTCTTTCCTTGAGATAAGGAAAAAAGTTATTTCTGTATTAATAGGGTATTTTCTCTTCAAAATGTCTGAAAAAAGGATGTAGGGATTTACTTTGAAAGAACCCGCAGTGGGATGACTTCCTCTCCGATTTTTAGCTTTTCCTTGTGCATCTTCTTTCTCTTCCTCTTTGATTTTACTGTTGACTCATCTTTGTTTTCTTTCCCTTCCTCCATCTCTTTTTCCACATCATCCTTATCCTTAGGTTGATCTAACATAAAAATATGGGAACTATTGTTGCCAATAAAGAAAAACTAAAATCCTGTCACACATTAGATAATAAAAAAATGCGTAAAGTAACTGTTAGCTAAGCGGTGTAACAAGTATTCATTATCTGCATTCATGACAAAGAGATGCGTCAGCTTCTTACCAGCAACATTTTTCTCCTTGACTCCAGATTCACTTTCACTAGTTTTTCTTATCTTAGAGGGCAGCTCAGTGTCAGTTCCCTCCACAGTCTGAGACCTTCGTCTTTTTTTCTCTGACACTTTAACAACAGTCTTTGTGGTGACGACAAGCTCTGGTTCCAAATCCCTCGCTGCAGATTGCTTCTTTTTTCGTTCCGATGGTTGCGTCTCCATCAGTTGTGGTTTAACTTCCTCCACAGATTTATGGCTTGTGGTACTGTCCCTTTTTTTCTTCTTCTTCTTCTTCTTCTTCTCCTCTTCTTCACCTGTAACACAATGGTTGTTGAGAAGATGGGGATGAAATAGTGTGTCATTTTCCTCTTCTCTGTGTTAAGACATTTTGTGGGCTGCAATAATTGTACCTGATGGTGGATTATAAACTGGCAGAGGAATATGCTTCCCATTCTTAGTCTTGGGGAAAATCCCAGGTTTTCTAGGGGCATCTTCAGGTGGGTTATTCAGCATCTGCTCCACAGAAAAAAACATTTTACACATTTGTGAGGGTTTCTGTTATGAACCAAACCCAGCATTGGTCATTCAATATTAATGTTTCTATGTCTATGTTTACCTCTATGGCTCTCTGTGCCTGTTCCAATTTTTCAAATTCAACAAATGCAAAACCCTTCGGCTCTCCAGTAGTCCTGTATCTGGGGATGCTGATGTAGACCACATTCCCACATTTTGTGAAAACCCTTTCTATCCAGCTGTGGGACACATCTTTAGGTAATAGTTCCTTATTTTCAAAAGAAGAAGACAGAAAGTTATTTTATTTTTTGTAATAAACAAATTAACATATCAGATATAACTGAGCTTAAACTAATATAAGTTTACACACTGCAGCAAATTAAACTAAATTTTGATTGTAATTGTTTTTTTACCACATAGACCGTGCGGCTATCTGTATCCTTTGGAACATCTCCGATTGGAAGCTGACGTCGTACTTTATTGCCTTCTAAATTGACCTGAAACACAAAACCCAATCAAGGTGTTTCTTTGGAAATTGTTTTAATTTTCTTTGAACTAAGCTGGTGTTATAATGAATAAATCATTTTGGTAAATAGAAACCAAAAAATCTTAAATACCTCAACCACAGATGAATTTTTCAGTGCCCTGGCAATCAGCCTGGTGTCTGAGGTCAGCTTTTTCATTCGATTGAAGCTCGTCAACACAGAGATATCAACATCTAATAAGACACACTTAATTATTTAATAAACTTAAACATTTTTTGAGACATTTCTTAGTTCTTTAAACAGTGAGAGCACGTTAAATTTGCCCAGATGTTAAAAATGTATAATGAAATTGTTAATGTAGAAATTATATATTATATAAGTATATTCAAAAATGACATAAGATTACATTAATAATAAAAGACTATAACAATCCTTTTATTATAATCAGTATTTTTTAAAGGTCATTTTGCCGTTGTCTGTTTTGTGAACTACTGACTCACTGCACAGTTATCTGTTAAGTTAGAAATTCAGTAAAGATAAAGTATTTGTAGCAAATATTTAACTAATTTTCTGTAAGATAAGTAAAATGAGTGAAATAATGTGTAATAATGTAAAGTAATGTGAGCAAATGAAAGACACTTACATCCATCACCAGAATCATCTATTAATTTTCTCAGAAATCGGTCCTTGTGAAGGTTTACATCTCCGAACCAGAACTCCACTTGCTTCTTCACATCCCCCAGCAGCTGTTTCACCCGAGATCTCTTCTTCCTCTCTGTGTCTTTCTTTTTACTGCTGCACTCTATGGGATCAGCATCAATGGTTCTCCTTTCTGTGTCAGTCATCCTGAGAGGATAAGTGAAAACAGGTCAGAAACAAGCAGTAAAATACAGAAAGTCCGTGTACTGCCATGAAAATCAGGAGATTTGCATTTAATCAAAATTTAACAACACATGATGTACCAATCAATAAAATCGAATCTAAAAGTTCAACAAATTATGCAATTTAGAGAAAAAAAGAAAATGTTTCGTCAAAAGTTGCAGTTGTTTGCTTCACTTAAGAGACTTCATGAAATCATTACCTTTAACTCGTGAAAGTAAATTTCGCGGGTAGAAACGTTTTTGAAAATGGAGTAACAACGCTTACTCTCGTACAACAAGAAAGTTCAAATATTAACGTCGTGCAAATAAAAAAACCTGGTTAAAATGAGAATGCGTTGTGCTCAACGCACAAATAAAACAACATGAAACAAAACACATACGTTCAGTCGTCGCAGTATAATGACGTCACGCATCGGTGACAGCAGCCACTTCCGATAAATTGTTTAACAAAATAAAACACACCGGATTTAAGTTAAACATTTTATGGACGTCTTACACTTTTTATACAGATTAGAACTAGTACCTTAAAAATATTATATTATATTCCATTTAAAAGTGCAATCTAAATTGAAAATGAACACTCCAATTTCGACCAATTATTATTTTATTGTTAAATATAATACGCAATATCTCCCAAGAGTGTTAGATGTGATTTATTTACACACTATGAATCTGTCTTTGACATTTTGCATATGTATCGGAACAAAATAGATAGTCAGCTTTTTTTTTTTTTAATAAAAATACATGGTCGTCGTGGTAGTGCATCGGCCGGTTAGCTCAGTTGGTTAGAGCGTGGTGCTAATAACGCCAAGGTCGCGGGTTCGATCCCCGTACGGGCCATAACCTTTTGTTTTCTAAACAAGGTTTTAAACTTATAATATAAATTTAATCCAACACCACTTCATCATAGTCCATATTTAAACTAAATAATCGTTAACGTGATTTATTTGATTCTTGTAGTCGTATAGTCGTGGCTAAGTAGACTTACTGACATCCACCATTTTTTTTCCAACTCTCCTGAGATTTCCACCTAGAGAAGACCAAACTAACACAATGAAAACATGGTACCACTACAGTATGTGACCTAATGTTGTGAACCATATTATTCCAGTAGTGTAGCAACATTAAATCTTTAGCTTCTAAAGACATAAGGTTGTTCTAAGTGTCAACTCCAGTATAACAAGGGTTCAAAATACTTTCAAATACGTACGTCGTCCTCAAGGCAAGACCTCAACTCCCTCCTTGATGAGCTGCGACATTTTCTTATAGATCTTGGCCCACTGGGTTTCCAAGCACTCACTGATATGTTGCAGACTTTATGTAGGACCTATCTCTCTGTACATCTTATCTGATTCACCAAAACCACAATTCATTTCCATACCAACAGTCCGAGTGTTGACTGCTTTCAAGTGGGTCGGTGCTTCATGCTGATGTTGACTCCTGATGGTGAAAAAAATCTTGGCTGCCTCTTCGCCTTTACAAGCCAGGATATCCAACACCTTTCGTACTCTTGACCACGGCCCCAGGAGACAAAGCACCTCCTCGCAGTCATCTCGATTGAACACTTCTTGATTTACTAAAGCCTCTAGCAGTGAGTCAATACATCCTTCCAGTTCATCCACTAGGGAGAATCGTAGGAGCCTAATTGCAGTCAAACAAGAATTACAGCCATCTTGTTCCACCATAGCTAATCTGTAGCAAAATCAGAAGTTGTAACATTCCAACAATGCCAGCATGTTGTCGTTAAATGTTTTTCTCTGTGGCCCTGTCTTTTATAACTGAGAAATAGTCAAAAGTTGTAAATCCAAAATTAAGAAGGTTTTTGTGATCAATTTGAAAAAAAAAATTGATTGACACTGTTATTGCGTCACCACAAATGTGTTTATATGGTTTAAGGTGGAGCCTCCTGTTGCATTAGTTGCATTATTACTCTTTCTATGTTCTGCCAAAGTCCTCAGGTTGACATTAAAAGATTAGTGGAGTGAGCAGCAGCTGTACTTCAGAACAGGGTTGGACTGAACTCGGATCTCCATCGAGACCAGCCCTTGGAGAGAGTGCTTGGGTCATGTCAGTGAGAGTAAAACTTGGTTGTGATTGGCCAGAGATCTCAGAACAAGCATGCAACGCCCTCTCGTGTGCACTCTGAATGACAAAGTGGGCCAATAGAGAGCTTGACAGGGCCAGTAAAAACTTTTAAGGAATATCTGACATTCCAAGCAGCCCACATGTGTGAGACCACTGGCTGACCCCGAACCAGACAGACTTAAATAAACAATCAAATTTGAACAGTTTAATCTGATAATGCAGTCAGGTTTTAGGTCCGAGAGAGTAATGAAAACAAACAGATTGTAAAAGGAATGTATTTGTTTTTTATTTAATGGCTATCAAGGCATGAGCAGAGAGCAAGACATCAAGTCACCAGCAGAGGGTCCCCATTGCATGCACATCAAATACTCTATCGGCCACTGAGAAATAAACACATAAAACCCACCTTTGACTTTATTTACAAAAGTATGCATGGGAACACACAAATGAAATAAATAAAGTTGAAAAACAAGACAAATATATACATAAATTAAGAGAATGTGTAACATTTTGATTGTTTATCTCTTAAAAATGAATGAATTACACCTTAATGAAAAGGTGACGGTTGATTAGTGTTGAACATGAAGCGGAATAAAATCAAATGAGTAATGTCCGGAGTGCAAAAGATTTCAATCAAACATCCCTCTATATAACTCAGAGGTCATATTTACCCAGCATTTCTGAGTTCACTTAGGAAGCAGGCTGCAAATAGTTTAGTTTTCGACTAAAATTTTAATTATTTTTGAACAGTAAGGGTAAAACTTCCTCACACTCCACACAAACCTAGGACAACACCTCAAAGTGGTTAAAAAGCAAAGTTTGTCAGTCGTCATTTCATGAAAGAATAAAAAACAAAATATATAAACATCAGCTAACAAAAAAACATTTTTTTAAGCAACCCAAAAAGCCATGTTTTTAACAGACCTTGATGAGTTTAGTGCAACATTGTCACATACTGATCTGGATCAGTCAAACAAACCTCCATTAGTGCAACCCATGCAACGTAACTCTTTATTATGGTCTACTTTCTACTCTGCCAAAACTGCATGAAGACATCTGTGTTCCTAATTCTTCTTCAGATGACTTGACCAATCACTGCAATAACCTGAAATAGGAGCAAAGATTATGATCTATTTCCCAGATGGCAAACACTGAACGTATACCCATTATAAATGAATAGCTTCTAGTCATTTTTAGCCATTTTCCATTCATGTAAAAAATATGCTGGGTTTGTGTTTAAAACAAGTTGACCCATTCTGCATTAAAACGCTGTTTTTACAGACCACTGCTGGGACAAACACACAATTCTCCAGTGGTTTAAACAAACACAGGGGCGACCTAGAACTTCTAGGTACCACGTCAGTCAGTTCCAACAGTATGACAATTCCTTACCATGCGTGTGTACGGTGTGCTTTTTCTATTTATGCTGAAATATGACCTGGTAGCAGCCCTGCCCTGTCTCCTGATATAATTACTGAAATTCATCACTTGAAGCTGAAGAACTGAAAACTGTTTAAAGCTGAGTTTCAGAGGTTAAAGAAAGAAGTGAAACTGACGCCTTCATGAACTGACACATCAGGCCCTTTCTGATGCAAACCCACACATGGTGATTAAAGTCACAGCCCCTCCGTACATTCCTCCACAATGAAGCTTCCTTTTCCAAAACCATTATTCGAAGACAGTCGTTGGTGTTAGGATGGGGATTAGAGAGGTTTTGAAGTCTCGGTAGGCAGGTTCCCTGACTTAAGCAGGTTGTCCACAGTCCTTATCTCTTCTATCCTCTTACTCGTCTCAGGTGTTTTGACAGGAATAACAGCAGCGACTCTGAAACTGGGGGAGTGCACAGAGCTCCAACTGTCGGACTTTCTCACAGTACCTCGTGCTGTCTTGACATTCTCCTGCTGGTACACGGAGTGAATCAGGAATAATCAAACTGTGGTTAATGGGCATACACCCACATTCTCTGTAGTATTTCCAGAAAACTTCTTAAAAAATTCTATATTTTACCAATGCTACTGCGACACAATATACTAACTAAAGTCAAGTAAATGTTTGCCATCCATCACTAGCGCCTTTTTGACTGGCCTGACATCATTGATTGATCATCTCACCTCTTCCACAGGACAAAATATTACATCGCTGCCAACTGGCAGGGCGAGACCTCCACATGCAGTGATGTTCACGTGTGGCCTTGCCCGTTTGCCGGTGGGCACAGGTCACCTGGCGTGACTGAAAACCATGTCTTCCACAGGTGGCAGTGCACTGGGTCCACGGCCCAACGCGCCAGTGCAGAGCACAGTTGTCCGTGGAGCAATTCTTTAGAGAACTGGGTCTAAAAAAAAAACAAAAAAAACTTTATTTTCTTACAGAAATCAAAGCCTAAAGAATAACTTTTTGCCTGATGACTTCATTTACCTGTAATGTCCACTGCACATTCTGTTGGGGACTTTGGTTCCATTTGAGTTCTGGCAGTAAACATGACGATGTTGTGTAGCCAAACTGGGACCGATGCACTGACCGTGACACTAAAAAGAATGAACACATTAGCTGTTAGAAGTACTTTTGCCTAAATCTAAGGCTCTGTCCTTCAGAGTTTTTTATATAATGCAAGATATTTGAATTTGAATTTTGAATTTTGAAATCTGTACAATAATATGTTATCTAACCGGCCCCCAAGAGGTTGCAGCCCATCTGGTACAGGGTACAAGGTTACATAGCCTGCTGTCAGAGGGTCTTCTTCCTGTTTCGTGGCACAGCTGGCCCTCCACCTCTCTCGACCGTCCCTCTGGTCCCCTCATGCAGCGGACGCTCCTGGTCTGAGAGCCACCTCCACAAGTTGCTGAACATGGTGACCAAGGATCAACTCTCCACCTTATTGAACTATACAAAGGCATAACAATGTTAGCACGTGCAGATATTACCTAGAGAATTAGGGGTTAAATAAAACTATGTAAAAGAAGTGGTTTAAAGCACCTGTGGCGACACTCTGGTCCAGGGCACAAATCTCCTGATTGGTTACTGTTGTTCTTCACAGAGCAGTTAAGGTCATTTGCTCCTACACCGTTTCCTTGAGCACAGTTTTTTCCTTTACTACCTGAAGGACAGACAAAACATGAAAGGCAGAAATCAAAACAAGAAGATCTATTTAGCTCTGAGGTTCTACACCTGGTATTTACTGCTAATTATGAAGTGTAACAACTGGAATTACAAAAACTTAAACTGGAATTGTATTCAAAATCATTCCTCATCTATCAAATGAAGTCCACCAAAGAGGCCATTGCTAAAGCCTCCAACTACTTCTTGAACATATGCAGCAGTTAAGAGTCTCTTTGTGTGTTTATATGTGAATCTACTGTATGTTTTGACATAGTACCTCTCATGGATGCAGGCTAAAAAAGAAGACACAAAGTGCCTTTTGACTCTGATGGGAATTTTCAGAGGTCTTGACACGTGGTACCAGATAAACAATGCTGTTTATAGGTGACCGTGACAGCGAACACCAGACATTCCCCATCGGTGATTCAGCAAGATGAGACAGTGGGTTGTGTAAAAACTTTCCTTGAATCTGTATCTGTATCTGTGTCTGTGGTGTGGCCTCTGTGTATGTGACTCAGAAAAGAACGCTTTCCCAGAATTTCTAAGCCTGAACCACAAAAGAACAACACAAATTACTATAAACTACGCTACATGAAAGTATATTAAGACAAACTTAACTTGACATTCCTACAAAAGCAGTTTTCGGCAAAGCCACAATAATATGGTTAAGATCTCTCTTTACCACAGAGCCTCTCTGAAGCTGTATAAATCATTAAGAAAGCTGATATGCAGATTTGTTTTTGCAGAGAGAGAGACAGGGACAGGAAAAAATCCTGACTCCAGCTCTAATCTTGCAACTGACATAAATGGCAGTTATATTCATCTTTGCATGTTACGTAAATTCTATTATCAAATTATTATGGTTCCTCAGGGTCTAAATTAAGTGGACATTTTGCACGCCTGTTCAACAGCCCAGTTCTGATAACCTTTGCTGCTCCAGGAGAAAGTGGAGAGCTGAGAATAAATATGTTGACTGGTTGTATCCTGTTATTATGTAGACTCATTTTTTGGCAATGTATGGCCTCACTGGCTGAAAATTTATTTTTTGTTTTAGGGTTTATAAAACCTAGGCTGGTGTTGAAAGGAATTCAAGTGCAAGAACATTAGTAACGTCACAGAACAGGTGAAAACTGCTTGATTTATTTAGATATTAAAACTGGCACAGAAGGGGAAGACAGGCACTGCACGGACACCATGTCGCCTTCAAGCTGCTATAAAGTGGGACAGACACACAGATAGACAGGTAGAGTCAATGCTGGACTGTTAACAATCTCACCTTTAATCTGCACCCAAGATGAAAGGGAGTAGGATCCCAACTGATTCCTGGCAGTGCAGGTGTACAAACCCTCATCCTCTTTGGCTGGAGACATGATCCTGAGTGAGCCACTGGGCAACAGACCAATTCTGCCAACACACAGATCGAACATTTACTAAATCTGAAAGTTGTTGGGGTTTTTTTTTTTCACAAAAACAAAAGTCTGTAGTTTTAGGTTCTCACCTGTTATTCAGTAGCAACACTTTCCCATTTTTTGTCCAAGTTAAGGATGGCTCAGGGTTTCCCAGTGCCTCACATCTCAACTCCAAACTTGCAACCGTCTTCTGCAGAAGAGCCGGCAGCCCCACGCTGATTATCAGTTCAGACGATGGGATGCTGCCAACCCTGATGGGTCTTGAAATGATCACAGGCTTCCGCGGCCTGGTAATGTGAGTTTTCGGTTTATGAATTGGCGGCCCATGTGTGGAAGATTCCACACTTTCTGGCTGATGAAGTGTAGAGTCATTTGTTTCACCGTGTGTCATTGTGAGGTCACTGAGCAACTGAGAGAGGATTTGGTCCCTCCGTGGTCCTCTAAGGCCTTCGGGGAGGTTGTGCATGATCTCATCCAGCCTGTGGGTATCAGCGACAATTACCACAGGGTTGGAAACTTCCATGCCGTCTTTCCGGTCTTCCTGGATTGATCTGTTCTTTTCACTTGAGTGTAATTTGTCACTAATGTCTTTTTCATCCTGGAAAGAGCCTTTGAGTTCAAGCAGATGCTCAACAATGTTGTCATACTGGTTGAGAGAGACAGGTAGTGCCTGAAATTTGTCTCCCACTGAGGATAAATTTGGCTGCCCCACCTTTTGTTGACCATCTGTGAGAAGCCAAGACTCTGGAACTGACAGTTTTTGCTTGCTGCCAATGACCTTCAGAACAAAATGTTCCCGTGCCTGGCCGGCGATGCACGTATAAATCCCCGCGTCGGCTGTATGAACCTGGTGAATCTTAACATAACCCAGTGGTGTAATGGAGAGTTGTGGCAGGCCGACAACAGGTTTGCCATCCTTTAACCATTGAATGTGGCCCTTACGGAAGTGGCGTGTCGGGCACCGAATCACCACAGTTGTCCAGGGCAGAAGGTAACCGTAGCTCCCAACAATCAACTGTATTTTCCTGCCTTTCCTCCACTGGATGTAAACCTTTTTCTGGGTCAGTATGGTGGGCTCGGGTTTGATGGAGTCTGTCAGAAAACACAAGGTGAGGGAGTGAATTTGTTATGTTCTTAATTTTGGTGTAATTGTGAAGTAAACACAGCCGAGAAGAGTTACTCTTACTCTCGCAGAGCCTGAACAAACATGGCCGAATTCGAGTCGGTCGAGGAATAAGGGAGCAGTTCTTGGGGTCCAACGTCCAGTAGCCTCCATCCTCGTTGAGTTTCCTGCAGACGGCCTGTAGAGTCTGAATACCATTTCCGCAGGTCACAGAACACTGGAGATATAAACGTAACCACACAATTTGAAATTTGACAGACCCTTCCGTACATATCAGTGTTGACAACTTTAAAGTCCAAGCAGAGGAATACCAACCTGGGACCACTCTGTTGTGACCCAGTGAGGTGGACACTCCTGCTGGCCACAGGCCTGCTGGTTTGCAGGACCTTTAGAGGGACAAAAGCTGTCAGGTAACTCCAGGACGCTGCCGTCTGCCAGCCGCTGTTTACAAAGGACCTTTCTCTTTTGAACTCCACCACCACAGCTCTGAGAACACTGCAGAGAGAAAAAAAAAACACACATGTGTGTGCAAGTGCTGCAGACTAACTGTAAAGTCAGACACAAATAAAAAGCTTGGTCTTACCTGTCCCCAGTCATATGTGTCCCACATTGGAGGGCAATCGAAGCGATTGCAGGCTTGGACAGGACTTGGTTTTGGACTATGACAGCCTAAATCCCTCATGACTTCTGTAAGGTTGCTGTCCCGGAACGGCTGGTGAGTGCAGGCCACAGAGCGGGACATGAGACCAACCCCGCAGGTGGCAGAGCATGAACTCCACTCACCTGTTTCCCACCTGTAATTACAGTGTTTATCATTAATATTAAGAAGAGAAGAATTTGGGCTAAAAATGAAATAAACACCAGAGGATAATCATTTTTATGTACATGTTTTGTGAACTGGCAGATTATAATTAGTCCCAGTATTTCAGGTTGGATTGCCTTAGCATCCGGTGTAAAAACTCTGCCAAATCACTATGCCAACCAGCGCTTCAGCGATCCATAATAACGGAACAGGCCTAAAGTGATTCTTGTTCTTTTTCAATTGTATTTGCTTCAGAGCTAAACACATGGATGTGATTTGGATCTTCACTGGTGCTCCAAACTGTTTCTTATTTTGTGTTAGGTCCATCATTTTTCAACTCTTGACCTTGACTGTTGATGATTCCTCGTAATTTTTTATTTGAAGAATGCTTAGTAACACTCTTCTCGAGCCAGTAAGTAGTTTAATGCAGAGTCAGGAGTTTGTTCAGAAATATTTATGCGTTTGAATTCCTAGCAGAGGACACCTTTAAAGTCCACATGAATGTTACATCATGAAAGTCAAAATACGAGTGAAATAAAACATAGGACTAACACGTTGGGACAGATCCTGCTAAAGATTTTTCGTAGGTCACTTTCTCAATGACCTACATGAAACAATACGTGACTGCATGTGACTGTTTGACACAGGTTCAAGTAGGTGATTAATCTAGCATCAGAGTTACTGTGGCGTTTTTATTCATGCCGAAAATGGTGTGGCACACGTCCACCTTGTCACTAAAACTTTAAACGCTTCCAAAGGCATTGGCTTCAACCACAGCGGCAGAACATTTATTTTTCTGCCTGACGGATTAGGTGATATTTCAAAACTATTCATGTTGACTCAACGGCCCAAGGACTGGGGAGAATTGGGAATGAAGCTTGTTTCTGGAGCGTTACTGTATCCAATGTTAAATCTTATGGCTTTTTCCCTTCCGAGGAAACAGTATCCAATGAGTGTAGCTAAATATGGGAGGGTGAGGAGGCCTCAGGGAGGGAGCCGGGAGCCAAACGAAACAAGTCCAACACAGCGTTTGTTGTGCCTAAAAACAAGACTCAAGGCCTGGAAAAACAGTCAAGGGCAGACTGCAAACCTCTGGCTTTACTGACAAGAGTTGGTGGTGGACACCGACACTCTGAGTGGTCTTAGCTTGAAGAGTATGGCCAACCGCGAAATCCACTGACTGTTTAGCCAGGACTGAAGTGTTAAACAGTAAGCCACTATGTTGTAACCAACCTGCCACTTATTAGAAAAGAATTGTGTGTCTGAGGTATGTGTGTTTTTGCCTGATGGATTCTTTTACCACAAATGAGCAAAGATACGGGGACATTTTCAGAGAAAGAAATTTGAAAATGTACATTCTTGTTGGGCTAGTGTAGGAAGTGTACAGTAAATTGGAAAAATGCATCAAGGAACACATACAAACCTAATAGATGGCTAGTTCAAGAATTGAAAATGCAATTTAAAGCACAACAGTTTCCTTAAACTTTAATTTAGCCAAAAGGCAGAGACAATACATAATTTAAAATAAAGAAATTCAAAATTAATTTGAACCACTTTTAATTAAATTTAACTAATTTAGATTAGGAGTCTTTTGAGAACGTAGTTACTTCTACCCCCTGCCTAAAAAATAAAGATTCAGGTGCATCAACACTTCATAGAGTTGGATTTTTTGAACTATTCAGGGACATATTGGGACTAATAGCATCAGTAATTCCTTCCATTCATCAATTTTCATCCGCTTATCCATTACGGGGTCACAGGGGCAGCAGTCACCAACCAAATCACACTGCACCATACCAAGGTACCAACCGCCCTAACCGGGATTCGATCTTGCCCAGGAAGTGAACCCTGGGGTTCCACACCAATGACAGAGACATTGCCTCTGGGCCAAAGCGCCACGGCATGAGTAGTTCTTGTACATATTTCTATTACTAATTTAGTTCTAAAAGGTTTGCTCTGGAGTTCCTTTCAGGACAATATCTCATGTGAGGCCAGCACAGGTAAGGCTGCCACTGGTACCTGATCCCAGCTGTGTCTGACTTTGACCAGGCTCCACACACTGTCCCGCTTTTTTCATTCCCTGCCTTCGGTGATACAACCATCCATCTCCGTCATTCCGCTTCACTATCACTTGGACTCCAATGGTCTCAATGGTAACCCTAATTGGCTCAAGTGGGGATAATAGGGACTCAAGTCTCCTTTGTACACAACCAGTGATGGGGAAAGATTAACAGATTCAACAAGCGTGATATGAGTTTTATTTGATATTCTGTGAGTTAAGTGAAAGCAGGTGTTGGAAGTATTTGACTCGGGGGAATACTTTGTTAATGTCCCTGTTCCTAAATAAGCTGATGGATGTAAGACATAAAGAGCGAAACCAGACTTCAGACATGTTGTAAATTATGTTGTGTTGTTTGCAGTCAAACCACTATCAACATGCCCACTTTCAATTTTCTGACTGTTGTCACGCTGAAGCATCGACCTTTTGAACTACGCTGTAGTAGGAGAAACGTTTGCTTGTTTGTGGTCTGTGATGTACCTGGGTGGACAGGGCTGAGTCCTGCAGTCCTGAAGGAGTTGAGGAGGTCGACGTGAGCTCACACACAGGTTTTGGTCTACAGCCTCCCGGGTCTGTTTGTTCAAACAGATCACCACAGCCTCCTGCACACCTGGGATGAAACAGAACCTTGGTAATCACAAAGGAAGTCCAAATAAAAGGGTGAATTAATGAGTCTTTTCAACTTTAACAACCGTAGTGTGGAAATCCCTCTGCTCCTTTTTTCTAACCAACACACATGAATGCATGAATCACAAAAATACAAACACATACTGTTTGTGTTAGGCATTACATCACTGCCTAATCACCCATGAAGCAGTCTAAATATGGGCTACAATGACTGACTAAACACTCGCTGCATGCTAATCTCATGAACTATGGACAACCTCAAACGGTGTGATTTCAGGTCACGCTAAAAGAAAGGAAAATACTACATTTTGGCGTCGGCTTGTAATGTTGGGGACAGTTACAGCAAAAGCAGACACTTCAAACGCCACAGTGGTGTGATGGTCCGCAGGAGCGCAGCCCTCGGGGTGTGTGTGTGACATCTGATACCAGTCTGTCATCATCCCTGGAGGGAAGTCTGTTGGTTTGGGTGATGGTGCATACACAGACACTGACAAAAGCCTGCAGCCAAGTGCAGAAATTAAGTTAAGCTAAACATGCACGCTCTGAAACAGACGTGAGCACAGACACACACTATGGGGGCCTGCATGTTTAGATGAGGAAGTGAGGAGATTAAAGGGGATTTCAACAAGTGTTGGCAGACTGTTTAGGGAAGCTGTCTGTGTCTGGTGACGTATGACCTCTGGGGTTAAACGGACAAACTTATTTCAAAGCACATAATCGCAGGGCTTTAGTCTTTCTCTGAGAGCATTGTCAATGACTTTACACTTAGACCAAAAAAATAATTATTGGTACAACTTAATAGCACAGACAGAATGATATTTTTTAGCATATTTATATATATTCACAAATATGGTCTGTTTGACCACAATGTTGACTGTTATTAACGGTTTAATGTGAAATTGATGGACTTGAATGACGTACTGCCGCATCATTGTGGACGCTAAATACCAATGTAAATCATAACTTTGTTTACAATTTAAGTAATCAATATTATTTGTAGCTGTTATAGTTCCTTTTTAGTTGAAAGACTCTTCAAAAGTAACCCCTACCTCCACCACAGCTCTTGGAGCATTCTGTGAACCCGTCGTACTCCCAGTCGTGCAATTCCTCTCTTTCAGGGGTCTCCCTTTCTTCCTCCCTCTCTTCTTCCTCGTCTTTCTCCCTCTCATTTCTACTTTCTTCTTCTTCTTGTCCCAAAACACCAGCGCAGGGACTAAGGTAACAGGGCTGACTCATTGCAGGTTTGAGTCCCTCACACTCGTCGTCAGGCAGGTCAGCTACACTCTGGGAAAAGCTCAACAGCACCTGGCACTTGACAGTGCGTTGCTGGGTTCCGGCTCCACATGTCCTGCTGCAGGGCTCCCAGGAACCTGGTATGAAGCTGAGGATACAAAGTATTGAGTCAGAAAATGAGCCACAGTTTCCACTATCAAAATCCCAGTCACAGTGTTTTGGCTGGCAGTATAGATTAATCATTGACATTGAAAAGCTAGTCTAGAGCCAGACCTTGTCATATTTGGGCTCATTCTAATATTTAAAAGTAAAATTTGATCAAATTTCCACACAATTACAATAGTCCTTTAGGCTTCAATTTGAGCCTTGTGCTAAATCTCAAGTTTGGCAATTTATTCACACAAAAAAAAACTTAAACTAACTCACCAAGGTTTATTCTAAATCTCCTATGAATCTTAAGGAGTAACAATGTAAACCTGTGACCTCACAAACTCCTCACAGAAAAACAACCGTTCAAGTCAGGAAACAAAACAATGACCTTCTGGCTCTGGGACTAAATAATTTCTCGCTGTCTAAATAAGTAACTGTTCTCAAGACTTTCCCATGTACGCTGAAAGAGATATATTACAACGTACTAACAAAAATCAGGCGCCTCTCAAAAATATGCAGTCAAATCTGGCCATGCATTTGTCACTTTTTAGACCGGATTAATCTAAGCTTCGAAAAGCCCTCAAGAAAACTCCAGCCATTTCACACTTATCTGCTGCATGTGCTGACAGAGAACTGTTAATGCCTACTGGGGAATCCAGGGTGGTGTGTTCTGTGGCAGGGACAAATCACATTATGTTTGGTTATTCCTTTTTTGGCAACGGATCACAAGGGCTTTTGGGTGGAAATATTTACCAGTGTAAAAGAGAGCCATTAGGTGGCGGTAAAGTCTCAAGGATGTAACAACATACTAAGGACGAGGAAGAATGAGCTTTAGCTAAAAATGTCCTAATGCTGTTGACTGTATACAGCCTTACAGATATGAAGTGAAGCTGTGCGTTTCCACAATTACAGCACCTCCCACAGATAGGCAAGGGTACATACTGTATGTTGATAAACTCATCAGTGAACAAAGTCATGTCATAGATGTACGTTAAATGATAAATCCAGCACTACTGAGGCAGCTTTGTGCACTGCTGTGTAAAATCCATTCTTGGCTGAGCAGCCTGCAATGCTACAAGAGCTCACTGTTTATATGATGCTTCAATAAATAGCCCATCATTAGAGCAAAGATAGCTCTTTATGAGCGTCTGAGGGCTTTTGGATAAAAGAACTGAATCAGCAGCAGTTAGACCTTGGAACGGGAACAACTGAAGTCAACAAGTGAATGCACAGAAATGTTTATTTAAGAAAAATAAACATTCTTGGTCTCATTCGTGGAAACCAAATAACACAAGTGTAATGTGTGCCAAATCGTTTTTTAATCAGTGGTAATATTTTATCAACACGTAGTAATGGTAGTGCAAAACAAAAGAAAGAAAAATTGGCAATATTATGGACCAGAGATGGGTTCAATTTTTCAAGCAGTTGCACAGTGGTGGTTCGGAGTGTGAATTAGCCCTGGCAGTACGAGTGCAATAAGTCTAACGAAGGAATTTCCTTCCTCCTTCCTCTCACATCCTTAACCTGGCCCCATATGGTAGGCAGATATTGATGTTGGCTCGTGAACAGCTGCATATCATACGTGGATATTTGTGTGCTTTTGGATGAAAGATGTACTTTTTTTTTTTGCAGTAGAGCACAATCATATGTTTTGGCATTTTCCTCCCCTTCCTGTTCCCACCTCATGCTCCAAAGATAAGTCAAAGCAACAGATGTTTTGAACTGGCTTACACGGTCAATAATAGAAGTCATGCAAGACACTGGGCTGAGACCAAACATTGTCCATCTTTGGAGGGCAGCCTTTTATTAGTCAACTGATATGTGAAACAAGAACATCTGGAACATCTAAAGGCTTGCTGAGGTAATGCTGGTAGCAAGTCACTGAACAGTCCAGTGGCTGTCAAAACAGCCCTCCCTCCACTTTGACTCTCAGGCAACCTTTTCCCTGAAATAACCTTTTACAACAAACTCTGTTAATCCCACATGAAAATGGACCAATCACAAAGCATTAAATACACAGAGTATGTCAAAGCATGGTGAATTCTTCTGTACAAGTCAAGACGCATCAGCTGTACCCTCGCATGTGACGATCACTCGTCTGATACCGATGTGGAAAGAGACACATGCACAAACAAGTGGAATTTCTTCAAAAACTAGAGGAAAATGTCACTTGACATGAACACAACCGCAATATACACGTGGTGTTCTTGGCAGCACCAGGCTCTCACTACTTAAGTTTCACCTCTAGGTAAATCTTTGACATGGGATTGTAAAAGTTGTTATTGGAAGTGTATATCAGGGGTCGGACTTCTGCTTCTCAAACACTGTAGCGTGACTGCAACTGTTTAAAGGGGTAAATTAATGCTATATTTTGTAATGAACCAGAGGTTTTAGCACCACTGGTGACGTGATCATCAAAAAAACAAATGTTTTGAGTTGATTGTCTACAAGAGTTAAAATACAGGATATAGCATGTCGTTTCTGATAATAAAGGTCATAAAGAGACATGCTTGACATTTATTGTGGCATAACATCCAAAAAGTCATTTGCAGGCACAGTATATTTATATAAATACTGTATACCGTATGTAAGGTATGTACTTACGTCGGTTCCTCCGTGACTCTGATGTCCTCCTCCAGCTCAATCGCTTGCTTACGCCAGACAGGTTTTGCCTCAACAGGAAGTGTATCTACCCAAAAAAGTTCAACTCAAGTTTAAAAATAAATTCTTCATAATAAAAAAAACAATACAAGACAGATCAAGATTACCTATAGATTTGTAGCAGGGCACTGTCACCAGACACTCCTCCTTGATATGTGGTTTAGTGGTGGGGTTGCAGCCTCCTGCGTGGAGCCCCCTGTGGTCAATACACAGAACTACCCTGTAGCGCAGGCCCTGTCCACAAGTCACGGTGCACTGTGGACGAAATTTAGTAAAATCAATCATCACTGATTAACAAAAGCATTTGCTTTTAACGTCTGGGTAGGTTCTCAGTCATCCAGGTCATCTTATCCAAAAAGAGTTACATCGGGGGCACCTGGACAGAGTAGGTTTCTTGAAGAAGTTCCACCTCTCATCTAAGAACTGAAGAAGCCTCTTGGATGAGAGGTGAAACATCTTCGAGGAACCTACTGCGTCCAGTTGCCTTCAATGTAACTATTTTTGGGAATTTGCTTTGAATTACTGGGTGTCGTTGAAATCGTGCCATCGATCTATCCATAGATTATAATCTGAAGCAGGGGTCAAGAACCTTTTTGAAACTGAGAGCTACTTCAAGGACACTTAATAATACGAAGAGCTACTTGTTTAATACTTCCTGAATATATAGTAGACACTCTACTTACCATCGTCATTGCACCCATTTGAATATCATTGCAGGTGTAACTAATTCCAAAAATACAGTAACAGTTAACTAGTTTCTATTTTAGAACATACCACCTTAGGTAGTCCATGTGGGCTACCAGGTGCCCCCAGGCACCGCGTTGGTGACCCCTGATGTAGGGACTAGGTATAGGAGACCATCAGATGATGGTAATGCCAAGATCAGCAGTAATGTTTTGATCAGCAGTAAAAATGTAAGCTGCTTTTTTTGACAAAGTATTGACTGAGGTGTAACTGGCTGAATAAATATTTGCAACCAGCAGTAAACAGGTGTACCTAATGAAGTGAACGTTAAGTATTCATTCAAATGATGTTGATCTCTGTTCCTGTGGCCACATATTCACCTGCATTTACAAGAAACCCTTCAGTTAATACATGCAAAGGAGAAGGCTTCTCTTTGCTCAGGAGTCCGTTTAGTGCCTCCTCAGCCAAAACAAGCTTTTAAATTGAAAGGAGGAATGTTCTAGGTAAACAGCTTCTAAAGATTTTAAGGAGGTCACATATGTGACTTTCTCTCTCTTTTTTCTCTCACTGCTCCTGTAGGAGTGGGGAAGTTTAGAAATCTCCACAGGAAATGTCATGTGGAGCATTTATGGTGAATGAAACTTAATTACAAGAGTAAACTTAACAGGGAAGGTCAGACTGATGCACAAGCTCCATCCAAATAGCCTGGGTGTGAAAGACACACAGTCAGTTAACAAACTCCATGTGTGCTGTTGACTTGAGGGTTTTCATTAAAGCGCTGTATGTTTTGGACGGTGTTGTGAGAGAAGAGGGCGGTGAAGGAGCCACAGAATGAAGTTAGCACTGCTTCCCTTAATCACACAGGAGAGCGGCGGTTTAAATGAAGCAGCTGCAGCTGAGTTTTGATCATGTTAAGAATGCTGCTTGGCATCCAAAGCTGGAATCACAGATTCAATTTTCTACTAAGTATAATTTTGTTTCCACCTTGAGAATATTCTCTTTTTACTTTGACTGGTGTCCAGGTAGCAACAACCACAGAAAACAGCTCGCTACTTTAAACATTTTAACCCTCAGAAACTTTGCAGCCTTAAATTAAAATTCAAGGACATGCAAACCTAACGTAACATCACATAACACAGCACGCAGCACCTACAGGAGACCACTCCTGTGCCAGCCAAGTGGGGCAGTCGAAGGTGTTGCACGGCTGGAGAATGGCTGTTTTTGGGGAATAGAGACACTTCCACTCGTCGGTGGCTGTAATTGTTCCCTGCATGTCTTCCTCCACGCAGGACACAGATCGACTCTGAATACCACCACCACAGGAAGTGGAACAGGCGGTCCAGGGACTGCTCTCCCATCTGACATTGAAAGGATTCAAATTAATGAATGTAATGTAGATGATTGGAGATTTGCACTTGCACTTAAAATACACACCTAGGCAGTGGGTGGTAAAGGTCATACGGCAAAAATAGTTTGTAGCCATCACTGAAAGATCACAATAATTAGGCTGCAGAATACTAATATCTATTTAAAATATATATACTGTAGATTTGTTGTCTTTTGTAAGTTCATCTGATAATGTGCGTGACATCTCACCCAGCCATGCATGGTTCCATGTTGCACTCCTGCAGTTTGGGCTTAGGCTTGACGTTCTCTGGGTAAAAATGGCAGTACTGATCCACAACCACTCGGCCGCTCCGTATGTCAAAGCATTCTGCTGAGGTCAGCTGGTAACCTACAGCCAAAGAACGGTCAAATGTCCAAAACAGTCAGAGTAAAGTCCAGACTTAAACATTGCTCTTAGTGTCTGAAAAGCTAAGTTTCAGCAGAGCAGCTTTCCTTCTGTTGGCTAAAAATACTGGCTGTTAAAATAAAGTATCCAGTCTATTTTTATAATGCCAGCCGTAAAACTACATGCCTACCTCCACCACATGTCACAGAGCATGGGAAAAAGTCAGTTTCTCTCCAGCGGTGAATGATGGGCTGGTAGTAGATGTACTGGATCACACTGTCTGCTCCGCTGCTGAACTGTACCTGCAGCAACAGTGTTTACAGCATGAAAACGCAAGTACTTCAGCTTGGCAAATACTTCATATTGGTGGAATAATGAGAGCTGTGGTGACTAAACAGCTCATAAATGTGGTGTTAAACAGTAAAACAAATGGTGATAATTTTAATGGATTTGTGTTTTGTTTTGTTTTTAACCAACATTGGCTTGAAATGGCCATTATTAAATCAACTGGTGTTTTTGAAACATTCACTACAAGTGTGTGGTCCTATTTTAATTAAAGCTCCTTACAGATTGTTGGCATCTCTTTGGGGCCACACAGTGGTAGGGTGAGTAACAGCAACTAAATCGACTGTAACTGAACAATGGTTCAGGTATGCAAGTAGAATTTATTATTGTGTCTCTTTATGTGGCCTTGAGATGGCATCTGTTTTTATGCACTAAACACTGCTGAATATTTCTCCTCCAGACCATTGGCTCTGACAAATACTCACTTAAACTAAATAAATAAAGTATGATGCAGTTCCAACAGAGGCAGCATATCATCTAACAAACTGTGACTGTCTAGTTTTCACCTGATATCCTGTGTGACAGATGACAAGTTCTAAACAGTGTTTTAGGCACGATAAGAATCTGACAAAAATCTATACATTTTACCACATTATTATTCTGACACTTGAAACATTGCATACAACTTTTAAGAACACTTGAAACATTGCATACAACTTTTATTTTATTTTTTATTTTCTATTAATCACACCATTGCATTCATTAGACATGTTTGCTCTACAATAGATAAAATTCCACTGATTTATTTCCCCTCAAATTTCCACCTCCACAGCTTCTGTTTATGTTCTGACTCTGACTCATGTTTAGAAGGAGGATGTTTTCACAGGCCTCTCCTAGTCTGGGTTCTGTCATGTCCACTATGTAGTCCCAGTCAAAGTACACAAGTACACTACATGTGCTTTTATGCATATGGGTATTCACGTGACTGTGTTTATAAGTAGACAACTAATATGTTGTGAATTTATTTTATTCTTCCAGCTTGTTGCTCCTGATTTTCTGATTTGTTGGGAAAGATGAAGAAAAATGTAATAAGCAGCTGTTTAATATTCTTTCATTGAGGTTTAATGTAGTTTGGATAAAGTTGACACAGAGACATGTTTAGTACTAGCCAGCTTAAAGTTAGAAACTTGTTTCGGATCTGTAATTATTTCAGCTACAAAAGTAATAACTGAACAAAATACCGCTTCAGCACCGATGACTCACAACACAATTTGTTTTAGTTATAAAGCTATTCTCGTTACATTTAAATATCTGAAATAAGTTCTGCATTGAACTCTGTATGTCTGACAAAAGTTCATGGAAATGAGAGAGTATCAGACTACAGTCTGGTAGCAGATGAACCATTTTTAGGGTTCTGCACGGATAAAACCATAGTTTGTATTTCAATTGTGAAATAGAATAATACGGAAATAAAGAAATGTCCTTGGGATGTCTTTGATCTTTGGTTAGATCAAAGACATCCCAGTGCAATCAATTGCAAAGGAAGTCGAAAAGCCATTCATTTTATTTGACGAAAGAGACATTTGAATCAATTAAAATGTAATTTCTGAACCCTTGAAATCAGGTGCTGTGGCCACTAGGGGGCAGCAGAAAAGGCAGAACACAACACATTTATTGATGTTGTAAAATGCTTCTTTTTAGCTTGTGCACCTATTCACATATGTAAAATGCTTGTTGTAAAATAATAATAATCCTAATGAGCCATTGGCTTAGATGTGAGAAGAATCTACAAACGATTTAAGAGGAATAACACAGTCATTCCTTTATGAATGAACTACAGTACTGCAAACTCCTGTATCACTGAAACAGCCTACTCACACTGACCGTGCAAAAGAACAAGAACTAATTGAATCAGGACACTTACTTTGACTGTGAAGTCAGCTCCGAGTGGACCTGTGATCCTCAGGATCTCTTTATCAGAAAGCTTCTGGAAATCCAAGGTGGTGTTCTCCAGGTGATACTGCCCTGATGCATCAAACACCAGTTCACCTTTGGCACCTTGAAGAGTCTTACTCTCCAGATCTGATGAGAGAACAGAGTCCAAAAGACAGTGAAATCAACTACAGAAAAAAAGTTCCCTTTTGATGTCGGGAATTATAGTCACATCTGTCAATTTTACTGTTGCACATGAAACCAAAACAAATGCAAAGAGTTCAGAGTTCAGAAGGCAAATTTCATTAACGTTGGGTCTTCAGTTAGATCCAGTTATTCACACTCTCACACCCACACACACTCTCACACACAGTGTGGTTGTTGCGTTTGGAGGCAGAGAGACTGGCTCTGGCAGTGCCAGCAGTCTCTTGTAGGTCTGCGAACAGGCCAGCTCCGCTGTGAGCGTTTCCATCGTTCGACGTCATGCCAACTTCAGCCCTAACAAGGTCTTGTGTGATTCCAGTGAAGACGTTTAAACAAAAACAAAGGGAAACACGGGAACAAGCAGTAACCGGCCGCAGTCATCATATGCTGACAGATGGTTACAATTTGAGAGGCTGCCGCCAAAAAGAGCAAAGGAAATATTTAATGAAGAATCTGTCCATTCAGAAATAGAAGAGCTCTTGGCCAGGCTGAAGAAGGGACTGCAAGGCAAAGGATAGCTGCACATTTGTTATCGATTTGATTCAATGGGGAATTTAGTGCCAGTACTTTGACATCAGCAGAGTTTACTGGAAGTCTCATGTCTTCTCTTCTCAAAGCCAAAGCAAAGCAAAAAGAATAACCAGAAAAGATAAATATCTTGGTTATTTCATACTGACTCAATTTGAAGAATTAGGCTTAAATGGAGAGAAATCCAATATATTTGACCAATATTGTAAATTATATTTTAATGACAGCTGATATTCGGGTTAAGATCCTTGATAAATCCTCTTTTATTATATAGTGTGTGTCAAGCAAGTATAAAAGTGATGATCATTAGTTTGTGGTGCAGCACAGACCACTGACAACATGAAACCATCAGCAGTTACATCAAAATTAATGGGCTCATTTTGGATGGAAGGGCACCCTGGACCTACCAGGACTTACACAAGTGATCCGGACCTTTCAGAACAAGACGAACATGACGGCTCTTGTAGGGGACGATAACAACCGTCTCTTCAGCTTCAAAAAGACAAGGGGAAAAGAGATGAAAAGAGATGTCATAAGAAAAAGACAAGGGGAAAAGAGATGAAAAGAAATGTCATAAGAAAGTTTCAAATCATTTGGTTAAGAAAACACAAGTAGTTTTAGGTAATTAACTTGTATACCATACATTGAAATTCCACATGATTACAATGTTTATCTTCTCTTTATACCTGATGCTTGTGCCTAGAATATACAGTTTACATCCATCAAACGTATGCCAGTAATCATGTCCAAGTAATGCGTCTTTACTTTTTCCAGAAGCATGCTGGGACTTGTAGTGTCCTCGCACGAGTCTGCAGGAAGAGCCGTCCCCATTGCAGACGCCACAGTTGTCCTCCTTGGTCGTGCTTCCCAACTCGTGATCGCAACCTACAATCTGAGCCACAAGGAGAAGCCTTAACAAAAACAAAGAAACAGTACAGACCTGACTCCCACGCCCAGAGTGACGGGGACGAAAAAAAAATAAACACATCGTGGTCAGGTGTGTTAGAAGTCATGAGTGAAAAAGATAAAAGAACAGAAACAGGACAGAAGAACAAAACAGCAGAGTGTTCTTCTGTAATACCATCCAAACAACCCCATGGTTCCCTCCACATTCGTACCACAGCCATTGTTTGTGTTATAAAGATAGCATGAAACAACCACTTGGAGCTGATCATGGGTTTTACTGAAAAATCCTTCCCCACTGTTTTCTATTAAACAAGATCATCAACCATCGACGGTTGATTGATGGAGTTTTTCCGCAATCCCTGTCGGTAAGGAAAACCAAAAACCTCAGTGTGATTTTAAACATAGTAAGGGAGTATATTAAAATGCTCGTGCATCTGTGCACATACATCGCCCAGAGACATAATTCCATTCAGGCAGGAAGCTATGTATTCTAAACTATTTCCTGGGCTGTCAGTCAAAATCAAAGCTCTAAACTCTATTTGCCTTGGCTTCTTATTAAGAAAGCAGATGGCACGACATTCGCAGGAGCCAAACCTTTTTTTCGGACTTATTTCATTATTGCAGAAGCTGACAGTTCCAAAATGCCGTGTATCCATGTGAACTAGTAAATATACAACTTAACAAGAATAATCAAATCATAACAATATATGAATAAAGTCGGACCATTCTCAGTTAAATTTAGACACTGAAAGCTTTAGAATATGTTGTCTTGAAAAAGGCAATCTATCTTAATATTAGACAGGGTTCAACTGTGGAAATATTTCATTTTACCAAGGAGCAGAAATGCATCACCATCTACATATTTCTCCTAGTGAGTGGCTGTAATTTCTGTGGAAAACTGTGCAAGCTCACAACTAACTGGTATTCAAGAGTATAAAATCCCTTTCTTTCATTTCTTTTTTTTTTGACAGAAATTCAACTGGGCTTAAAGCTTGATGAGGAAAAGGTCATTAAATGTCTCCAAAATGCAAACAATTGGATGTGTATGTTGGTTATATCACAGATGTGTGAGTCTAGAATCGCATGATTTTAGATTAAAGATAAAAAAATGAATGGGGGTGATCCCACCTGGCAAACTCCACTGATGCACATGTCCAAGGACTCGGTGTAACAGCGAGTCCCGTCCAGCACTTTAGGCGCCAGCTCCACCACAAGACCCAGACCTTTGGCTTTGCACTTGAGAGCACAGGGGTTGTCTGGGTCATTGTACACAGGCAGCCACTCGTGGAACAGACCCTGGTATGGAACGTCTGCGTGAGCCAAGCACTGCTGAGCACGGAAATCACCGGCATCTGGAGGGCAGTCCTGAGGATGAAGGAGCACCAGAGTTGTCCTGATATATACGTATATAACTGAATCAATGAAATTCTCTCTAGATCTCAACCCAGATCATAGTGTTAACATTATAAACCACTGCACATAATTACCAGATGAAGATTAAAATTAAAATAAGAGGAGCTTCAAGTCTCCTCGCCACAACCTCTCACTTTCCCTCGAACAACAGGATCTTAGATCCCAAAATGATCCCACTAACCCGTAAAGGTTAGGAACATTCCACCAGCTCTGCCAAACTGAACTCTCCATCGCTGTTTGCAGTATCACTTTATCTCAAATGGAAACCACTTGAAAGCCGAACGGACATCTATTACATAAAGATGAGTTTGCTAAACTTACCACATTACTGCATGTGCGGTATTTGATATTCTGCCCTTCGCAGGTCCTGCAGATGGGAAAAAAAGCAGAGAATAAGAATGCGGGTGAACTGGCCTTGTGGGGAAATGATATAACAAACCGCAAGCAGCACCAGTGACCTGGCAGCCTGTGTTTCAACTATTGACTCTCATTAAACTTTTGAGTTGCTGAGAAGTGGGTGGAATCCTGTAGTGATGGTTTGGCAGGCCTTCTGTGATGTGTTTGATTTTTACAGTTATAAACTGCAAAATATATGGTCATTCCTGAAGACGGTAGGGAAGCAAACACTCCCTGAAGAAAAGTATTGTTAGCACTGGAGTGTCAAAGTTGCAATTTTAGAAATTTCAAATCACAACAATATGTAAACACAGCTAGAGTTGCCTTTGCTTCAGCAGCTGGAAAAGCTTTTGGGTTTCATTAGGGCAGCACCAGATTTTGTGTTAAATGTTATTTTTCAAATAAAAACAATTAATGTTGTAAATTTAAAACACATCAATGTCTCTGTTTTATGTGAGAAAATAGATTTTAGTTTTTAAAATTTAAAAAGACCCATTTGCATTCAAAAAAGTTTACCGTATATGTTCATTTACACAGTTGACTGGGATGATCAACAATCTGCTAAAACATAACATAAGGTTAATTATACAAAAATTGTATTTCTGTCATTACTTCAAAGACCACTTTTCTCATTATTGTTTACAAATTCAAGGTTGTTCCTAGAAATATTACAAATATATGGCTAAATACCTTTCTAACCAACACATTGGTAACTATCTTATTTTAACAAACTAACTTTAAACCAACATTCAAAGCAAAACGTTTGGTGTTTCCTTAAAGACGTGATTATCTGCCACAGTGATCAGTCTCTGCTATGATATGCAAACAGAAGAAACGGCAAGACGAGGTCTTTAGTCGGCATCTGTTGAACAGATTGGGGCAGTTTGGATCACGACCCTGTGCATGATAGTCTGCAGTGTCTTTGCCCAAATTATAGAGTTAGGTACTTATTGAAAATTAGGATCCCTTTGTGCTTTGATGCCATGTGACGATAAACCACTGAAGTGACTATGATAGGCCAATTATCCAGAACCCCAGAGGAACCCAATCAAAGGATAAGTCCTTTGGGTTGGAACTTGAGAGGAATTCCAGTGTCATTGGCCCTTAGCTAATCTGGACTCATGATTGGAGGTAACATTACAGATTATAGACTCACAGATGAGCAAGGCCCAACGGGATTTTAGAATAGTATTATGGAGTGGGTGACAGTGTGGCACAGCAACTACGTGACAGTCAGAGAGTCTTCTCTACCAAGCTAAACAGTGGGACTTCATTGTGGTTCCATGGTGTAGTGGTTAGCATGCCTGGCTTGTAACTAAAACACAGAGAGTCCTGGGTTTGATTCCCAGAAGGACCACCTCATAACACCTCCCCTACTTGTAAGTCGCTACGGATAAAAGTGTCTGCTAAATGCATAAATGTAAATGTCCTCCCTGCAAATTACAAAATGATAAACCCATCAGTATCTCTTTTGAGAAAGTGCTTGGAAAACACTCTGCGCTCTCCCTGAAACAGATCAACACATTCTTTGAAAATCACTTCCTGTTCTACATAGGGTTCTCCAAATCCTTCAAGAAAAGCCTTAATTTCATCTTTCTGTTAAATTACTAATTTATTTGTATTAATTAGAGTGTGTTAAGTTTAAATTGACGAACACTGCCTCCTTTTATAGGTTCTATTTGTAGTTCTGTTGTTCTACCACTAGATTCTGTGCGTATGCATGGTCAGAACTACATTTACACACATTGACAAATGAGGCTCTAGGAGTTGAAAGATCAAAATCAATGTGGAAAAGTAAAACTGTACTCAGTTTTATATATCCCACATGCCTTTTTCTTTTCAAAGAGTCAAACATATAAAAATGTTTTTTCTTTATTTCCTCTCGACTTTGAAAACTACAAAGTTAAGGCAGAAGCAGGGCTAGGGAATAGTCATGGGAATCTTTTAAGGTTACAAAAAACATAGCGTAGTTTAAATACTCTGAAATCCTGGAGAACACATCACATCATTTACAGACAATGAACATGCTTTTTTTGGCCAATTTTTTTTTTCCTTAAAACCTCCAGTTAGACCCACTGTGCTGGCCATCTAAAATGCCATTAACATTTTTAGACAAACTATCGCATCCATTAAAAATAAAAGAAATAATTTATGACAATGTTGGACACACAGTAAAAAATGTGTCTGGTTTATAATGTCAATATATATGTCATCAAGTGCTCTAGTAAGATTTGAAGTAATTGCTAGACTGGCTCCAGGACCGTTGTCATAATATTGATACACTTGCAGAAAGTACAGCATGTAATGCTTGAAATATTCATCACGCTGTGAGATCTGCTGTTGATCATTAAAGAAAAAGAAAAGAGAAGGAAAGCAAGAGGCTTTAATCCATGCACTGGTTGTATGATGGTCGCATAATTCAACAGATGAGAATGTATACCAGTCTCAACTCAAATAAACATCATAAATGACCACAATTTCTCAATGTAAAAGATGAACAGGGATGTGGGAGGTGAAACGCTTCATTTAGTCACGGTTCAGTTTCTTAGCTTACAGTTTTCTGCTTCCCAACGATGAGAACACACAATAATATGGTCAATAAACATGACTATTGACTATGACTACTAATATACTCCCTTTATCTACCATCAGTCTAACATCAAACAAATCTAAAATCTGAATCCGGTTAGAGTTACTCTTCAAAAATGAGCCATATTAACTAGTAAAGCCTTGGTTGTACCCGTCCACCTTTTCATTGTGTATTCTCATCATGTTTATTCAAAAGGCTTTTGGCAATTTCACAACAAATTACATGAACATGTCATATCAGGAATGAATGGGGAAACCCTCAACCTCCTAGCCGCAGTAGCGCTGACCTGGGTCTAATAATGTCAGTTATGTTCCCATTGACATACAGTTGCAGCTCACATCCAGCTGTAATTATGTAGCTAAATGGCTATAAAGCTGAGGATTGTGTTTTTACACTCTATTCGAGGCTCACTGCCTCATTTAACAGTTTATAGATTCTGCATCACTAGGTGAAATGGGTGTCATTTAAAAACCACAATCGGATATAAATTTGGCGTCTATGTAATCAGGAGTTTCTCTTAACTCCACGCCTGAGTGTTGACTGTGGAGAGAAGGTGGTCCAATATACTGTAATGCCACATAATCATGGTGCCAGGCGCAAGGTAATTAGAAATTCATTGCCTTAGAGAAAATTCCCTTTTTTAACAAGCACAGCCTTTAAACAGAGAGTCTAAACACAGCTGTGGTATGAATTTGGTGGCACTCCAGCACATCACAGACATTTCACGTCACCGCCTTTTAGTCTTGCAAATCAGTAAACCTGTAAATAGTAAGACAAAAACAACAACAACAAAAAAGGATCTAGCCTGAGTTTATCCATGTTATTGGTTCCTTAAAGGTATCAATGGATGATATGAGTCATCCTGTCCACTTCAGGTTAAACTGGCCTCTTGTGTATTTGAGAGAGGCCTCACTTTTATGTAAAGTAACGACAAAAACTGCCAAATGTCTGTGGCAGTTGCCATCGACAGGCTTCATAATTCACAGTGCTGTGCTTCTTCTTGCCCTCACAGCCAATCCATATGTCCACACTTGCCCTAAACCAGCTATGATGTTGTTAATAATGGAGCTTGTAATCAATGGTGTTGTGCTGCAGGGACTAATGAGCGCCAGACGACCTGTGTTTAGTCTGCACTTGTACTCAGCATGTATTGGTTTGGGAGGCTGTCTGGCATTTTTGGAGTAGCAGTGGATCATTTGTGTGTGTGTGTGTGTGTGTGTGTGTGTGTGTGTGTGTGTGTGTGTGTGTGTGTGTGTGTGTGTGTGTGTGTGTGTGTGTGTGTGTGTGTGTGTGTGTGTGTGTGTGTGTGTGTGTGTGTGTGTGTGTGTGTGTGTGTGTGTGTGTGTGTGTGTGTGTGTGTGTGTGTGTGTGTGTGTGTGTGTGTGTGTGTGTGTGTGTGTGTGTGTGTGTGTGTGTGTGTGTGTGTGTGTGTGTGTGTGTGTGTGTGTGTGTGTGTGTGTGTGTGTGTGTGTGTGTGTGTGTGTGTGTGTGTGTGTGTTTAGCAGTCAAAAAGTTGAGGTGGTATTGGCTGAAAGGAGTTGCAGGCATTTCCATTTGCTGGTGTTACACAGACACTGTTTGATCTGTCACCCAGAGCCAGAGCTCCTTCGTTCCCATACAATAGCAGCGTGAGGCAGCTCGCGGTGGACCTGGGGGCTTTACCGTTTGCTCAGGAGCCCCATACATGACTGTGTGTGCCAAAGGACACAGAGGTTTGTAAACAAACCTGCCTGCTCTTACCAGAGCGCAAACCTGCACGTATATATAAAAGCACTCCTGACATCTCACATGGAGCTCAAACCCCAAACCCCTCTTAACACGTCAATTGCTTTTACAGCCAGTAGCAATCTGAGGTTTGCCTGACCAAAAAATTCTGGGCAAGCAGAAGAGACGTGGCAGCTGCTGTTTTTAACCAAACGACTGCCTCCACGTTCTCACTGTGGTACAGAAGAGCCCAAGGAGTCTGTCACTTTGAGTTTGAGATGCTGACAGACATATGTTCCTCAGCCGGGTTCTCAGAAGCACTGATGATGGATTCATGGTTACGGACAGCTGCAAACATCCTGCAGTGCATCTTAGATGAGACCTTGGGTGCAATCTTTTCTGCTTACTCAGCTTGTCTTTCTGCAGTCGGGCCGTTTAATGGTCAGAGGCTGTTACGGTCACTGCTGGTGGCCCCTGCCACTGACACCGGGATGACCCGAGCAGCAAAGTTAACGGGCTAACTTTCTGGGAACTGTAATAATGCAATGAAGTCACAATGCAGCTATTTCCCAGTCTATAAATGTGACAACATTACTATAGGAAACATACACTCCTACTGACTCATTCCTTTTCTTCTTCTTGCTTCTCTGATTCATTAGTAATTGGCCACTCTACCCAGAATACTTGGCCTGGAGCGTCAGTCTTGAAGCCCACTGGGTTAGATTTAGGTCTGACTAACAGTGACTTCCAGAGTCTTCCTGAGCGAGGAAGCCTGGATGAAGAGAAGTGGGAATCTAACTCGTTGTCCAACTGTGGGCGGACATCTTTATCGCAAGGAGAAAAAACTATTGAAAAGTAAACTTTGGAAAAGGACACTGATTTTTATCCTCTGTTTTACATAGAAACATATCAAGGTCATAACTTAATATGAGTTCATTATTGTCACTAATGAATCAAAGATCCAGGCTCTTATGGTCGTTTAGATATTTCTAGGATGGTGGATGAAGACGTGATCTAATCTGACCCTTGTGGACTATTTAACATTCCCAGATCACGGGACTAAAGCTATTGGTAAGTTTTACTCACACGTTTAAGGAGACCGTCTGGATTTATTTGGCAATGCAGCTGTAAATAACTGGAAATAGATCCCCTGCCTCGTTCTTTGTCATGAATCCTGGAGCTATGAGATGGCACTTTAATGAAAACCAGTCTAACCTCAGCCAGGACTTATGAAGGAGAAGTTCACATTGTGCAGTGTTCGAGGACAAGCTCACAAATTGCCCGTGAAATAGTTCCATTTGTCTGCAGCTCAAAGCAACTTCAAATTCTACTATAATTGTCTCTTTTTCACTGGTATTTATTACAGCCCAGAAACCTGAGACCTCTGACCCTCTATTACATTCATCTGCTTTTACTGTGGAATATTTTTTATAGATGTCCCACAGTAGTAACATCTAGGTGATGTTTAAGACTGGGGGCTTCACTTTTCAAATGCCTTTATTCAGTGCATAACACATGGTTAATGCAAGAGGTTGTTTTGAAATTAAGTATTTTTTTCAATTTTGTTTTACATACAGTCTAATTTCCAAATATGTTTGCTAAATAAATAGCTTGACAGCTTATTTCTTGGCAACCATAAATTCTTGTTTGGATGCATTACCACTGCTACCCAGTAGGGCTTACACCTAAAAACCATGGCCTCCCTAGAAATCTATTAAAAATAAGTCAAGTTTTAAGGGAACAGTATGAGCACGATTCTTCCTACATACATGTATAACAAAGAGCTTGGCTGTGGGTATTGCAATATATTGGTACAATAAAGAGGCAGTGACCAGGACAGTTGAGATCATGCATATAACATGTCTTAAACAGACATCTTACTTGGAGCTAAGGCATCGTCGAAGCGAGTATGACGCTCCTCCACCACAGGTACGTGAACATTCGCTCCATGATCCCCAGGCGTCCCACAGTGTGTCTCTGTCTTCTTCTGACCGTGCCGTCCGTGAGCTCTGCAAAACACAGGTAGAGACAGGACAGGAAGTCAGCTGTTTATTTGATCAGTCACTGATGGTATAAGCATGTTTAGTTTCATTATTGTCAACCAAAGCTAAGACAAGCACAGAGCCCAGTTGGCGGCTGTTGGCGCTTTGGCCTCCTCACACAAAGCAAATCTAAATTTAGGCTTTTGAGCACTGGTGGAAGACGGAACTAAAATTCCAGAAACTGCCAACAGGAGTGCAACTGAATCAAACACACGCTCAGAGGAAGTAATCAAGAGCTCTTCACTACAGCGCCAGCACAATTTTAATTATCCAAAGACATAATTAAAAAACATATTTCCTTAGTTCGCTTAAAGCCTGAAGTATGTGTCTCTTTCTCTGTTGATTGCATCATAATGTACTTGGCAGCAGAGGCCTGGCTATTACTGTGGTTTCCAACATCAATATCACAAGAAGATTAATTTCTCAAGTGGAAGTGCAACGTACATCTCAGATGTACAGCAGCAGCCAAATCAATGGAGCTCCTCTCCAGCAAAAAAAGGCTTTTTTTTTTTGTTTTGTTCATTTTTAAACTGCAAATTCAACTGAACTGAATCACCTTCCAGGGAAGATGTTACTGTTTGATGATGGCACTGGGTTCTTCAAACACAGGGGACCATGTCAGGTATGTTTATGTCTCTTTTGGTTTTAGCTGGGCAGCCTCACTCTACTTTGTGTTTAAATAACAACCTGAGAGTGTATGGCCTCTGCCAATGTTAAAAATTAAAAAACACTAAAAGAAGGAAAACCTGTGTGTGTCCAGCTGCTGAAAATGATCCATTCCACTTCTGGTCTAATGGGTCTTCCACAGGTTATGCCACAAGCTTCATAAAATGTCACGGAAATTGGTTAAGTAGTTTTTTCAGTTATCCTACGTGCAGACAGATGGCACCAAAAACATAGCCTCCTTAGGGAAAAGGTAATTACTAGAAGGATGGCTAAGTTTGATGGAAGAGGTGCTCTATGCTCCAGAGCTGCCAGTGTGAAAGAGTAGCAGGGAAAATTGACTCTGCACTTGTGAAGTTGATGAAATCCTGGAAAAAGAAAAAAATTCTCCTTGGCGCAAATACTGGGGGCAAAAAAAAAATCATCCACCTCCTACACACCAGGAATGTGCTCAGTGAACCTTTTTAGTTTTTATTTTCCATAATAACTGGACAACTCAGTGAGACCTTCTCTGCCAGTGAACCGTGCAAGAATATTATAAGAAGTGTTAATTGTGCACTTAAAAAACTCCCCGTGAGGCAAGAGTCCGAGAGCAAGTGAAAAATACTCTGTCCTGAAAATTAGGAATGAAATGTGAGGCAACACAAACTTACTGACTGTGAGCACACAGAACAGGAGAGGTTCTGTGCAAACTCCACCTGCTCTACAGAGAGCTAAGCTCATTTCTCTGAAGGCCCAGCTTCGCAATTGAGATACACAGACCTGAGCAGCAAAACCTCTGAGTTTTGCCAAGTTACTTTGACCTTTCAGACACTTTTCCAAAAATGCATTGTGTAGACATAAAGCAGAGCCAAGACTGCATACTGTGCTGATAATTTTCTTTAGATCACAGCATCAAAAACACCACTGCTATCTGCTCCAGAATGATGTGGTGTGTTCACATTATAAAAGATGACAGGGGGTTCACAGGGATCACTGTAAGTGCCGCAGACACCTGAGGAACAGCAGAGAGGAACAGCAGGACTTTTAACACCCTGCCAGAGTAGTGTACAGCCAAACATATCTGTAAACGGTGTGACTTTCTTCACAGGCCAACTATTTCAATGTTTGGATCTACAATAAATAAGCACAGGCCATGTTCTAGGCAGCTGGAACGGAACAGCCCCCCAATTCTCTTTCTAATAGTAATCAGTAATGTTGCACTCACTCACAGCTGGGATGTGTGTATGCCAGTGCCAAGAGAGCAACAAGGTTGATAAAAATACACTGAATTTCTAGGAAAATAATTCTTCACTTCTTACCACCTCTCCTGCCTTAAATCCCTGATGATTACATCTGTTGCCTTTTTTAATCCTTCACATAATCCCTGATGATTACATCTGTTGCCTTCTTTAATCCTTCAAAAACGCATGCCAATTTAATGTATTTTATTCCATGGCTTAAAGAAGTTATACTTACTCTGTCTTGCCTGGTTAAATAACGGGCACATCAATTAGACACAGAGCAAATGGACGACCACAGAGGAACTGCAGTATGGTTTTACCCTATATTTCCACATCAATAGAAAAAGGGGAAATGGGAATATGGTATTTGACCACTGAATATTCGACCCCACATTACAGTACATATTACTCTGATGGACAGAATCTATTTAAGTCACCTGTCAGAGGCCGGGACACGGAGCATTTGCCTTGAAGATGGAAAACTCGTCGACAGGGAAAAAGAAACTCGACTCCGGTGCCTTCTTTTGCAGACTGTGTCAATATACATTCGATGGCCTTTTCAGTCAGCAGGACATACGATATTTGCACATCTGCTGAATCTCTTGTCGTCTAGTCCTGCCTGCACTGTACTGTACTCAATGCCATGCTGTGAGACACTCGCTGCTTAGTAACGGGGAGTCCTCACCTCTGACAAAACAGATTGCTGTAATGCACTTGGGTGACATCTGTGTATTTTTGGTGATAAATATGATGTTGAAGACACACAGTAACCACAGCGTAGTCATCATTACAGCTAATGCTACTGGGAAATTCAAATAGTCCCAAAATACAGTCTGGGAATAATACACATGCTACCTGAATGTAAGGAAAGTATAAAATAAAAGCAATACACAGTACAAAAATGACATTTACACCAGGACTTCAAAAGCAAAAAAAAATACTGTACCAGGATAAGAAGAGCTGTCACCAGTAACTTGCAAAATAAAAACTCTTGCTCCATGACTTTCTGAGTTCTGCCAGATTGTGATTTATTTAAGTTAATCTCTGAGAGTCTGATGCCCTCCTCTCACTTGGTCACTCAGTGTGTCCCGTCTGCCAGTCGTCTCCACTCTGACTTGTAGCCCTTCTTCCTCAGGAGTAATTTGGAGAGGAGGAGGAGAGCTGAGAGAAAGCCTGTGTGTATGTGTGTGTGTGAGAGAGAGAGAGAGAGAGTGAGAGAGAGAGTGTGTGCGCACGTGTGTGTTTTAGAGTTTGTGATGTGTGAACTCCATGAGGGAAGTAATCTGGAGTATCTGAGCCCCATGAGCCCTCAGGTCTGGCACACTAGCCAATCAATAAACGGGCGTCAGCAAAGCATGCTAGTTTAAACACAGAGCTGGAGCGTGCGTGTGTGTGAGTGCAATATCTGTGTGTATGTGTGGGGGGGCACATAAGGCCGAGAGTTGGAATAATAGCTGACAAGTGCAAACCGATTTTCCTCCTTTCATATTCCTACTTTCCAGCCTACCTGCTGTTCCCTCATTCTCTATCACATGTCCGTGTATTTCTGTGTTCCATTCCTGAATGCTAATTGCTTTAGCTTTTGTTTTGGAAATACTCAAAAATGTCAGTTATATTGTGCAAAACAAATTACAAGCCTGCAGAGATATGTTGACAACAAATCACGTACTGTTTCAAAACAGATTTCCCTTTTTTTTGCAAGCCAGTGACATCATATCCAGATCCTGGCTGTGTTTTGTTTCACACGAAATTAAATGTGAGCGCCTTATGTAAATCAGATCTCACAGTCTGGTCACTCCACGTATCAGATAAATTCTTTTTAGTCACGGTGACTATTTTTTTTCTATCCCTTTATGACCCTGAAGGTCTACTTCAATAGATCCTTTCATAACATCTGGCACTTAAAGCCAGTGAACATTTGCACAGTGGAGGCAGGGAGGGAGCCAGGTGTCCCCTGGAGGGACAATTCCACTGCTTACAGAGCAAAAACAACTGTTACGACGGACAGCTCCTGCTACAGCGGGCCTTCACTCAATGGCTTCCCTCATATTTACCTTTTCAAATGGTTGAACTCAAAAAACAAAAGATAGAAGATGGAAGACCTTGGCGCAAAAGTTGGCGCTAACTTGCTGCTGCCTAACTTACCACGGTTCCTCCGTGTCTTTCACACGGTGACAGGCAATAACTCAGGCATTCAATCATAACTTTCCAAAGACAATAAAAACTGTTTGCCCTTCAAAACCATAACTTCAGATACACTTCCTGATCAAACGGTAAATCTAAAACCACAAAATTGCTATCAATTAAGGCTGCAGGGAATGTGCTGCGCTCCAGAGTAAATAGTCAGCTACTTCAATCGCAAAACAGATTTCCCTGCTGGAGGGGGTACGCACACACACACACACACACACACGGACACACAAACATGCTTTATAATTGAGTTTAACATGGCAAAGCTGCTTAGAAGTTTTATTAACTGCCTACTTGTGGTTTTGGAATGCCTATAAATTTAAAGGATTATGGGATTAATTTATACACACACACACACACGCACACTCTCACCCTTGACCAAAAAGGGAGAGTTCTGGATGTGCATATTTTCACAGGCTGACACAGGAAGGCAGTCCACGCACCCTTAATCCATAACCTTCTGATATTTGCTTTTAGAAGAAATCCTTCTCATGTTTATAAATGTCCAGCTACAGAAAATAAACCGAGGCATTAGTGATGTGCTTAAAGTTCAAAACCAAACACCAGAGGAGGAAATTAACATGTTTCACTGACACTCACTTGGAGCCGGTTCTCGACCACAACATTGCTGGAGGTGTCTCCCTTACTGTTTAGACAGCAGCCCGTGGATGATGAAGTGAGAATAAAAGGGAGAAGGTGCATTGTTATATCACACCAGAGGAAAGCGGGGCATATCAGGTTGCATAAGGGATGCATACAAGTGGTTGAGAGGGTTTTAACCATAAAAAAGCTTTGAACAGGATAATAACTTTACCAGTACTTAGGTCTCAGGGCAGAGCTCTTGCTCTCACATATCGTTGCATACAGAATGTTCTCTCACCCTGAAAGATA